ACAGTCTCTGTCGGCCAGGCTGGAGTGCAGCGGTGTGATCTCGGCTCACCACAACCTCCGTCTCCCAGGTTCAGGCGATTCTCCTGCCTCAGCCTCCTGAGTAGCTGGGATTACAGGCACATGCCACCACGCCTGGCTAATTTTGTTTTTGTAGTTTTAGTAGAGATGGGGATTTCACTATGTTAGCCAGGATGGTCTTGATCTCTTGACCTTGTGATCTGCCTACCTTGGCCTCCCAAAGTGCTGGGATTACAGGCGTGGGCCACCGCACCTGGCCAATTAAGTGCATTTTTCATAAAGGTCCATCCAACATAGACACCTTGAGGGTTGAGACACAAGCGCTTTTCTTAGTTTTGTTGTGACCATGTCATTCGTGTTTCCTTTCCAGCGGACACGTGCCCCCCAGTTCAATTTTCTTGACATCTTCCCAAAAGTCACCTGCAGGCCTCCCAAAGAGGTGATTGACATGGAGCTGAGTCCCCAGAGGAGTGACACTGAGCCTGGAATGGATGAGTTGGAGTTCTGCAGCGAGGCTTTCCAAAGACCTTACCAGTATTTAAAACGGTTCCATCAAAACCAAAACCTAGACACGTTTCAGTACCAAGAAGGCTCAGTCGAAGGCAACCCGGGGGAATGCCTGCAGCATCTCCTCATTTACTGCGGGGTCATCAACCCATCCTGGTCAGAGCTTCGGAACTTTGCCCGGTTCCTAAATTATCAGCTCAGAGATTGTGAGGCCTCTCTCTTCTGCAATCCGAGTTTCATTGGAGACACACTGAGGGGCTTCAAGAACTTTGTGGTGACCTTCATGATCTTTATGGCAAGAGATTTTGCCACACCAACACTCCACACCTCTGACCAAAGCCCGGGGAAGCACACAGTCACCATGGATGGGGTCAGGGAAGAGGACCTGGCTCCCTTCTCTCTCCGGAAGAGGTGGGAGTCAGAACCTCACCCGTACGTTTTCTTCAATGACGACCACACCTCCATGACGTTCATAGGCTTCCATCTCGAGCCTAACAGCCACGGCGGTGTGGACGCCATCAATCACTTGACGAGGGAGGTCATCAAGAGAGACGTCATGACCATGGACCTGTACAAGGGGCTGCTGCTGCAGAGGGTGCCGTTCAATGTCGACTTTGATAGACTGCCCAGACATGAGAAACTTGAGAGGCTCTGCCTGGCCCTAGGGATCCACTGGGCCATTGACCCTGATGACACGTATGAGCTCACGACAGACAACATGCTGAAGATCCTCGCCATCGAGATGCGCTTCCGGTGCGGGATCCCCGTTATCATCATGGGAGAAACCGGCTGTGGGAAAACCAGGCTGATTAAATTCCTTAGTGACCTGCGGCGTGGCGGTGCCAACGCTGACACCATCAAGCTGGTCAAGGTGCACGGAGGGACGACCGCTGACATGATCTACTCCAGAGTCTGGGAGGCCGAAGACATGGCCTGCTCCAATAAGGCCCACCATCAGTTGGACACCATCTTGTTTTTCGACGAAGCCAACACAACAGAAGCCATAAGCTGTATCAAAGAAGTCTTGTGTGACCATACAGTGGACGGCCAGCCCCTGGCCGAGGACTCCGGCCTGCATATCATAGCCGCTTGCAACCCGTACCGGAAGCACTCCGAGGAGATGGTCTGCCGTTTGGAGTCAGCAGGTCTGGGCTACAGGGTTAGTGCAGAGGAGACAGCCGACAGGCTGGGCTCCATTCCGCTGAGGCAGCTGGTGTACCGGGTGCACGCTCTGCCCCCAAGCCTGGTTCCTCTGGTGTGGGACTTTGGACAGCTGAGTGACACAGCGGAAAAGCTCTACATCCAGCAGATTGTCCAGAGACTGGTTGACTCCATCAGCCTGGATCAAAACGAGACCCGCATGATCATAAACGTCCTCTGCGCCTCTCAGGGTTTCATGAGGAGTAGAGAAGATGAATGCGGTTTTGTCAGCCTCCGCGACGTGGAGCGCTGCGTGAAGGTTTTCAGGTGGTTCCACGCGCACAGCGCCATGCTCTTACCACAGCTGAACGCTTTTCTGTCCAAGTCCAGCGCCAGCAAAAATCACATTGAGCAGAGAGACCCTGTCCTCTGGTCCCTGATGCTGGCCATTGGGGTGTGTTACCACGCCTCTTTGGAAAAGAAAGACTCGTATCGGAAAGCCGTCGCCAGGTTCTTTCCGAAACCCTATAATGACAGCCGGCTGCTTCTGGACGAAATCACGCGGGTACAGGACGTTTTTCTGGACGGCGTGCCTCTGAGGAGGACCATCGCCAAGAATCTGGCCTTGAAGGAGAACGTCTTCATGATGGTCGTCTGCATCGAGCTGAAGATCCCCCTCTTCCTGGTGGGGAAGCCCGGCAGCTCCAAGTCCCTCGCCAAGACCATCGTGGCCGACGCCATGCAGGGACCGGCCGCCCACTCGGATCTGTTCCGCAGCCTGAAGCAGGTCCACCTGGTGTCGTTCCAGTGCAGCCCGCACTCCACCCCGCAGGGCATCATTGGCACCTTCCGCCAGTGCGCCCGCTTCCAGCAGGGGAAGGACCTGCAGCAGTACGTCTCTGTGGTGGTGCTGGATGAGGTGGGGCTGGCGGAGGACTCGCCCAAGATGCCCCTGAAGGCTCTGCACCCGCTGCTGGAAGACGGATGCATCGAGGATGACCCCGCCCCCCACAAAAAGGTCGGCTTCGTGGGCATCTCCAACTGGTCTCTTGACCCTGCCAAGATGAACCGGGGTATCTTCGTGTCGCGTGGCAGCCCCAACGAGAGAGAGCTCATAGAGAGCGCCAAGGGCATCTGCTCCTCAGACAGCCTCATCCTGGACCGCGTCCAAGGGTACTTCGCGTCCTTTGCTAAAGCCTATGAGACGGTGTGCCGGAGCCAGGACAAGGAGTTCTTCGGGCTTCGTGACTACTACAGCCTCATCAAAATGGTCTTCGCCACAGCAAGGGCTTCCAATAAAAAGCCGTCCCCGCGAGAGATTGCGCACGCCGTCCTAAGGAACTTCAGCGGCAAGGATGACATCCACGCTCTGGACATCTTTCTGGCCAAACTGCCTGAGGCCTTGAGCTCAGAGGAAGTCAACCCAGTGCAGCTGATCAGACAGAACATCTTCGGGCCCTCTCAGATGGGGCCGGGCGGACAGCTGGAAGATGGTGAGTCCCGTTACTTGCTCGTGCTGACCAAAAACTACGTGGCGCTGCAGATCCTGCAGCAGACCGTCTTCGGGGAGGACCAGCAGCCGGAGATTATTTTTGGTTCTGGTTTCCCCAAAGACCAAGAGTACACCCAGATCTGCAGAAACATCAACCGCGTGAAGATCTGCATGGAAACAGGCAAGATGGTGGTGCTTCTCAACCTGCAGAACCTCTACGAGAGCCTCTACGACGCGCTCAACCAGTACTACGTCCGCCTCGGCGGCCAGAATTACGTGGATCTCGGTCTGGGGACCCACCGTGTCAAATGTCGGGTTCACCCCAACTTCCGCCTGATAGTCATCGAAGAGAAAGAGGTCGTGTACAAACACTTCCCTATCCCCCTCATTAACCGGCTGGAGAAGCACTATCTGGATATCAGCACGGTGCTGGTGAAATGGCAGAAGCACATGGTGGAGGAGCTCCGTGCTTGGGTGGAGAAGTTCGTCAATGTCAAAGCAGAGCAGTTCCTGGACAGGCACAAATACAGCCCTTCTGACGTCTTCATCGGCTACCACTTGGACGCCTGCGCCTCCGTGGTGCTGCAGGTCATAAAGAGGCAGGGTCCCCGGGCCTTGACGGAGGAACTTTACGAGCAGGTGTCCAGGGAGGCCAAGTGGATTCTGCTGAACTGCGCCACGCCTGACGCTGTCATCCGGCTGAGTGCCTCTTTGCTGGACTCGTTCACGGCGGAGTCGCTGGCACATGAGTACTTCTACAAACAGAGGCACAACTCCTTTGCGGATTTCCTTCAGGAGCACCTGCAGGCCACAGACCCGGCGTGCCACGCCGTCTTCACAGAGGTGATTGTGTTTCTGCACTTGCACCCCATCCTCTGTCACCCAAGAGTCCTAAACCCCTAGTGTCAGGATTCAGGATTCTTCCCCAGGTAGTGGCTAGGGGATCCTGCATGGAGATGCTGAGACCAGACACTGGGCTGTTTCCTCTGTGGTAGGTGTGGAGAGCCAAGTATCTATGTAGGTCTAGTTAACCAAGGGATGAGAGCCTGCGTCTGTGCAGTGCGCCATGCTGGTGACAGCACCATACGCCATGTTCACACCAACCAATGAAGTACCACGTTCCAGGACTGGGCCAGGGTCACTGGGGATGCACAGATGAATTTGCAGCCCTTGTCCTTTGTTAGCATACAGGGAGCATGGAGAGGCTAGCACGTGAACAGATCCCATCAATATCATAGATGGATGCTGTGCTTAGAGGCAGAGAGGAGCAGTGCAGATCAGGATGCGAGGTCAGATGAGACGCTCTTCAGGAGAGGCTCTGCACGCAGTGGGGAAGGGTGGCTGGGAAGGGGCTGTAGGCAGAGGCCCTGCTGTGGGCAGGCAGTACCATCCGTGCAGAGCCGCTGACAGAGCTTAGGGTTCAAGGCTGTGAGTGCTGATATGGGGGGATGAGGTGCAGCTAGAGAACGGGCAGAGGGCCTCAGCGGCCCCGAGGAGCCACGTCTCAGCCATATGGGGTGGGCCCTGGAGGCACGTGTGCCCCCCTGCCTGGGTGAAGGGAGTCTGATGAAAGGCTGTTGTGGAAAGGACGGGCTGGTGGGGAGGCCGCTGGAATGGTACAAAGGAGAGGAGCCGATGGAACCGAGAGATACGTAGGAGGCAAGTTGGCAGGGCCAGCACCGGCACCCGGTGGGGCATGGGGGGTGGAGAGGTCTGGGGCGACTCCCCGGGTTCCTCCTTAAATGAGTGGACGTTGCTTCGTCATGACAGATAACCCAGGAACGGACAGCAGGTTTTGGGGGGCCAGTGGTGATGTCCGCTGGGGACAGGCTTTGGTGTATTGTGCATGCAGTTGGATGTAGGGATCTGAGCTGGGTGCTGAGGCCGGGCTGGGAGGCGGGGATTCCTGGGGCAGAGCAGCAGGCCTTGAGGAACGTTTTGGCTTGCACTGCGATGGGGGAGTGACCTGTGGGACAGGAGCACTGCTGACATCTGGGGGAAGGGGGCCACACCAACCACCAACTCCATCTGAAAGCATGAAGCCAGATTATAAGAAGCAACGGTATTCGTGCTCAGTCCTAAGGGATCATGAGAATCTCAAGTAGGGACCAAGCAGTCAGAGCCCAGGCATCTAGGGAGGAGAAGGCGGCAGAGACCCCGGCTTCTAGGGACGAGGAGAAGGTGGCAGAGACCCCGGCTTCTAGGGAGGAGGAGAAGGCAGCAGAGACCCCGGCTTCTAGGGAGGAGGAGAAGGCACCCTTGGGGCAGAGTGGAGTCTTCTCTCCGATGCCTTTGGCCCTCCCCGCAGGGCCTCCCATCCCATGCTGCCTTGTTTTGGGAAACTCCTTTGGGTCTGGATTCTGTGCTGTCCTGTGGCAACTGCACAGCACTGGACATCCACAGGTTTCTAGGATCTGTCTGCACCTAGCAGACTTGCAACCTTTCCTTGAATTCTGGCAAGTAATTTGCATTTTCTAACTTTGTAGATCACCACTTTCTCCAGGCTGCTAACAAGTCACGACTGTGAAATTTTACAATCGGAGGTCACGGGCAGGGCTCCAAAACCCACACTCCTGTGGCTGCAGCAGTTTGACACTGAGCTCTCATTCCTCAAAGAAGTCCGGTGAGGCTCCCCACCTTCCCCGCCCTCTCCCTCCCCAGCCGCGGCCACGTGGCTTCTGCGTGGTGACGGTGCCAAGGCCGGTTAATGGGCACTGCCATCCCGAGACTGTGAAATCGATCCTTGTTAAATTGCTCCCAGCGTCCCTCTCCTCTCCATCATCTTCTGCAGTGCGGTGCCTGGCCAAACACCCTCCTCTGACAGCACTGCCCTCGGACCTAGTTAGGAGGCATTCATTGGGTTTTCTCCCTGGACTGTCTGTTCTTACAGAAGAAAATCCAACCTGAGTAGCTGTTTCTTTGTAGCTTTTATGTTTCCCATCACTTTAGGGAATTTTGTTATCCATTTTTTAAGACCAAGAACTGCCTTGAATAACTTCGCTTTTCTTTCAGAAACTGCTTAACGGACAGAGCCAAATGTAAAATCCTCATTATTCAGACAGACTTTGAAGATGGAATCCATAGCGCCCAGCTCATCGCCTCAGCTAAGTATGTTTTTAGTATTTTTCTTAGAAACTATGTAAAAAACTCAAAACGTAGGAGATCCTAGAGAATTTCTTCCTTGAAAACAGTATTGTGTCATAATCAATACAGAAATAAAAATAAGAACAATTCTTCCCCCGCCTCATTCCCCAAATGTGAATTAGAGAAACTGAAGAAAGAGACAAAAAGAAAAGGCCAATAACATTATAAAAACAGTGCACTGGGCCTGGGCAACACAGGACAAGACCTCATTCCTAAAAAAAATAAAATTATTAGCCATCTGCACTGCACCTGTAGTCCCAGCTAGTCAGAAGGCTGAGGTGGGAGGATCGCTTGAGCCTGGGAGCTCAATGCTGCAGTGAACTACGAGGGTACCACTGCACTCCAGCCTGCGGGCCAGAGCGAGAGCCTGTCCTCCCCCAAAAAAACTGAAATGCAAGAGGTGAAAATAATGTATAAATAATGGAATATTAGGCCGGGCACAGTGGCTTACACCTGTAATCCCAGCACTTTGAGAGGCCAAGGTGGGTAGATCATGGGGTCGGGAGTTCAAGACCAGCCTGACCAAGATGGCGAAACCCCATCTCTACTAAAAAATATAAAAATTAGCCGGGTGCAGTGGCAGCCACCTGTAATCCCAGCTACTCAGGAGGCTGAGGCAGGAGAATCGCTTGAACCTTGGTGACAGAGCTTGCAGTGAACCGAGATCACGTCACTGTACTCCAGCCTGGGGGAGAGTGAGCCTCCGTCTCAAAAAAAGGATATAAAACGATGCCTTTGAAGCCTGTGTTTGTAGACATGTTTTAACAGGTAATTATTAATTTTGAATTATACAATTTGAATTTATTTTGAGTTCGAAGACGGTAACAGTAGTTAAATGCTTGTATCCCTTTTCAATGGATATTTTTATAGTGTTGGTAGGGGAAGTCTGATACTCTTAGAATTAACTGTGCTCCTTTATTACTAAAGTAAAAGTGATTTCTGGACTTGACGAAGCATTGGATGCCATATTTCATTTCGTGGCTCAGCTCTCGATTAGGAACTGGCTTTGGCCATTGGTCATCTGAAGGGAACTGCATTGCGCACAGAACTCTTTCTTGAAATGGAAAGGTCAGCTGTGTACAGGGGCTGTTTCCTGTAGTCCCAGCTACTTGGGAAGCAGAGGCAGGAGGATCATTTGAGGCCAGGAGTTTGGGCCCAGCCTGGGTAACATAGCAAGACCCCCATTGCTTAAGAAAAAACACGGAATGGAAAGTTCAGCTAGCCTCACCCTTAGCTGCACCAGGGCAGGGCCACTGAGGAGTGCAAGATAGGGTTTCTGGTCGATAAAGCAAGGCCACTTCAAAGCAGAGGACGTAGGAACAGGGAAGAAGATGAGCCTACTCAGAGATTTCTCATCGCCTTGTAAGAGAAGAAATCGTGATTGGCCAGGCGCGGTGGCTTGCACCTGTAATCCAGCACTTTGGGAGGCCGAGGCAGGTGGATCCCGAGGCAGGCGGATCACGAGGTCAAGAGATCAAGACCATCCTGGCCAACATGGTGAAACCCCGTCTCTACTAGAAATATAAAATTAGCCAGGTGTGGTGGCGTGCACCTGTAGTCTCAGTTACGTGGGAGGCTGAGGCAGGAGAATTGCTTGAACCCGGGAGGCAGAGGTTGCAGTGAGCCGAGATTGCGCCACTGCACTCCAGCCAGGCAACAGAGCGAGACTCCATGTCAAAAAAAAAGGGGGGGAGGACCGAGAAGAAGTGGTGATGGCAGGGGTCTGAAGTTTATGTGAAGCTCATCAGAATGGGTGGCTGAGGGACTGAGCCAACAGCTCTGAGAACACCCTTCCTCAGCTGCACAACTTTGTTTTTTTTTTTTTTTTAAACGAGGTATTTTTTTTTTCTTTAAATAGGTACTCTGCTATAAATGAAATCAACAAAATACAAGACAGCGGGGACCGTATCTTCGTCTATTTCATCACCAAACTGTCCCGGATGGGAAGTGGGACAGCCTATGTGGGCTTCCATGGAGGTGAGACCAGAACACCAGTTGGTGTATTTATTCAGTAATGTCTGAGCTCTTTCTCATCTGGTGCTATGTCATACAAGTCTGAAATTAGAATCTTAATGTTAACCTCAACAGTATTCTTTCCAGATGTAATTAGATTTCTTACCACTGATTACTGTAAAAAACACAAATCCTGGCTGGATATGGTGGCTCATGCCTGTAATCCCAGCACTTTGGGAGGCTGAGGCGGGTGGATTACCAGAGGTCAGGAGTTCAAGACCAGGCTGGCCAACATGGAGAAACCCCGTCTCTGCTAAAAATACAAAATGAGCCAGGCGTGGTGGCACGTGCCTGTCATCCCAGCTACTTGGGAGGCTGAGGCAGGAGAATTGCTTGAACCCAGGCGGCAGAGGTTGCGGTGAGCTGAGACGGTGCTGCTGTACTCCAGCCTGGGCAACAAGAGCAAAACTCCATCTCAGAAAAACAACAACAAAAAAACACGCACCCTGGGCCTGGAGGCTGCAGCGTACAGCCTGTCCTGGACTGACTTGCGGGCGAGCTCCTCACCTCTTAGCAAGTGGGTTGCACACAGCAGAGACCCCTACTCCCGACAGACACCGTCAGGAATGCACCAATATGTCTGTTTGGTGGGGAGGGAGGGAGGGGTCAGGCTAGCTGAGATCTGTTGTTCCGAGGAATTGCTACCAGCTATTGATTACGTGGAAAAACTGGTATTCCAGAAATAGGAAAGTAAGTCTATTCAAATAACTTTCTGGATAATGGAAGGCAGACCTTGGCAGTGTCCCCAACCCCTCACTAACTGTGATACAGCAAATACAGCAACTCACGGGTGAAGGAGCCACAGGCCTGTCCACATGTCCTTCCCATGCCTGTCCCTGCAGGTCTCACCGTGGCTGTTTATGTTGAAGTTGTTGATATGTGTAGAATGGCTCAGGTGGTTTCTGTGCAGGCCCATTCCAGGGTTTTGCCTTCAGGGTGCCAGTCATTCATTTAGAAGTGAGGTAATGACAAGCCAGGGTGTGCAGTGTCCCTGCGTAGGGCTGAGAAGCAGCCGGAAGAGATACGAGATGGTTCTGGATGGCTTTGCTCTTCACAGGGCTATGGCAGGCTGTGCACATTGACGACCTCCAGAGATCCACCGTCATGGTTTCGGATGTGACCAGGCTGCAGAGTGTCACCATCAGCCAGCTGTTCGCACCCGGAGAGGAGTGTGAGTCGTGAGGCGGAGCCTCTGTGGGTGCCGGCAGTGGAAGGGCAGGTGGTAGGTGTGGAGGGTGGTGTGGACATGGCACTAGGGAGGGGCAGGGCCACTGTGCTTTTGTCCCTCAGCAGGAGCTCGGGGACACATCTGCAGAACTGACAGGTGGCTCATCATGGAGCCCCAGGGCCCAGCAGGTGTGCATTCCCCAGGCTGAGGCAGAGCTCTGTGAGCAGGCCAGCCATGGAAGTGAGTGCCTAGAACTCACCGGAGCCCAGGCTGGAAGGAAGTGGCAGCCCTGGGGCCGACCTTCATGACCATGAGCTCTCTCCGGGGGACCCACCACCAGAGCTGGGGCCAGGGCAGCCTGCACTCTTGGAGCCTGAGCACGCAGACTCCCAGGTGGTGCCGCTGCCAGTGCCGTGCCATCTTCCGAGTGGTGATGCGATCACGTTTGCTTTGACTGCAGTGGGCTCGGGACACTGGACAGAAGACGGCCATGAGGAGGCGATGGAGACGGAGCCCAGCACGTCAGGGCCAGTGGCAGAGGAGGCCATGGAAACAGAAAGCTCTGAGAAGGCGGACGAGGAGACGTCTGGGCTCGGAGGCGGTGATGTAAGTCCCAGTTCCCGGGCCTCCGCTTGTGCTGCGTCTTTGCGCTTTTGCACTGGGAGCTGGAGGAGCCGCTGCAGCTGTGCAGGGGTGAGGATGGCGCCTCACTTCCCTCATGCAGCCACAGTCTCGTTGCTGGTTACTGGGGGTCAAGGGCATCAGCACCGGCAGTTTCGGGGGCGCGGGGTCGGCGTCCCTTCTTTGCCCGTGAAGCCTGCCCTCTCTGCTGTTTGGGTGCTGCACTGAGACCCTCATCGCCTGGGGGTGGTTTGGCTTTTACCCACCATGTAAGTGGCAGAAACAGATGGCCCGACTGTCTCCACCGACAGGGGCAGATCCTGGACACCACCAGGCTACTGAGGAGCTGTGTGCAGAGCGCCGTGGGCATGCTCAGGGACCAGAATGAGAGCTGCACGCGCAACATGCGGAGGGTGGTGCTCCTCCTGGGCCTCTTCAACGAGGACAGCGCGGGCAACGGTAGGAGCCGCCTGCCCTTCTCGCCCCTGCCCCAGCCGGAGTGGGCTCTTCCTGAGGAGCGGGCATCATCCTCTCAGGTTTCCGTGTCGCAGCAGAAGCAGTGACACAGTGGAAATCTAAGCGTACCTCTCAGATTTTGCTCTAGAATCCGCCTGGTCAAAGGACTTCCCTTCCCCGGGGGAGTGGGTCAAAAGCACCATGGAGCCGACAGCCCAGCCATGGCCATGCTGAAAGTCCGTCTCTGCTTTTGCCCAGCTTGTTTCTTGCAGGTGTCCAAGAAGCGCCTCAATGTCCTTTTGAAGAAGCAAGAAGACAGCCAGTTCCACCTTCTGAAGGAGTGGGTGGCGAGGGAAGCCTCCAACCAGGACGCCCTCCAGGAGGCGGGCACATTCAGGTACCATGACTAACGGAAGCAAGGAGGGGCTCCAGTCTGGTGGCAGCATGGGGACCACGCAGGGATCTCTCCATCCACGCCATGGGGACCTGCCTGCAGGGATCTCTCCATCTGTGCCATGGGGACCTGCCTGCAGGGATCTCTCCATCCGTGCCATGGGGACTGAGATGTTTCTTTCTAAACCTCTCAGACATTCAAAGCTGTCATTTTTCCCCCAAGAAGCAGACAGGAGATCTGGACGGTGGCCATATACAGGGTGCTGGCCTCTTCCCTCTGCTGTTCTGTGTGCTTACAGGTTTTCATACTAAAAACTGAAATAGAACATCTGTTCGTAGAGTAGAGCATTGACTGACATTTAGGTTAGAAACCGTAGAAAGGGCTGGTGTTTTCAGTTATGAAGTTGAAATGATGTGCAGGGCGGAAGGGGACAGGTGTTATTTTCCGGTCCTGCTGTTTGAAGAATGATCATGGCAAAACCAGGACTCAGCAGTACCATTAAAGGCTATGGGTCTTTTTCTGTCACCTGTGGGACTGACCCATGATAACCTTAGATGTGGCCGTGTGTCATAGAGGAAGGAGGGGTGCTCTGGGCCCCAAACGGAGGGTCTCTAAGACAGGCTGTCATACCTCCTGGCTGGCAGTGTAAGAAACCAGTGACTATGATTTGGGCCCAGTTTTCTCATCTCTAAAAGACCACAGGACTCCTCCATGAGTCCCTTCCAGGTCCAAGCTTCTGTGCTGGTGATGGGTTCGCGTTGGGTGTGATCTGCGGGAGGGAACGTGAAGAAGAAGCAGCGTTAACGCGAATGGGGCTTACGGACGCCTTCATGAGCAGAGATTTTCTGTTTCTACTTAAAGTTACCCTTTGTTTCCTTCTCACAGCTTCTGAAGGGATTTTTAGGAGATCAGAAATATTTTCATTTCCCTCAGTTCCTCCTTGTGGATTCTGTTGATGCTTTTTTTTTTTTTTTAAACGGAGTCTCTCTGTTGCCCAGGCTGGAGTGCAGTGGCCTGATCTTGGCTCACTGCAACCTCCACCTCCTGGGTACAAGCGATTCTCCTGCCCCAGCCTCCTGAGTAGCTGGGATTACAGGCACCCACCACTATGCCCGGCTAATTTTTGTATTTTTAGTAAAGATGGGGTTTCACCATGTTGGTCAGGCTGGTCTCGAACTCCTGACCTCAAGTGATCCACTTGCTTCAGCCTCCCGAAGTGCTGGGATGGCAGGTGTGAGCCGCCTCAGCCAGCCTACTGATGCTTTTTAATCCCTGACTCCACTCCCCGGGACCAGCCCTGAGGCACGGAACCTCCTCAGTCTGCTCTTCCCCACTTTGCTGTTGGCACAGCAGTAGGCCTGGCTCCGCTGCATTCCGTGGCCACCCGAGAGGCCTGCACAGCCGGGGTGGAATCAGGCTCAGCAGCTCTCGCCCCTCCCTCCCAGTGCTAAGAACAGAGGTTCTATTTCAGTTTTTATTATGAAAACCTGTAAACACACAGACAAATTTATTTTGGTCTCTTCATCTGTATTAAAAGGTTTTTAAAACATTTATTTGTTCCAAACAAATTGTCATTATTTATTTATAGAAGCTTGATGACTTGTTCTGAAAAAAGTTATGTACAAAAATTATACAGCCTTGAAAAAAATAAAGCAGATAGGTGCAGTGGCTCACACCTGTAATCCCAACACTTTGGGAGGCTAAGGCGGGAGGATTGCTTGATCCCAGGAGTTTGAGACTAGTCAGCTGGGGCAACATAGTGAGACCCCATCTCAACAAAAAAATTAAATTTAAAAATTAGCTAAGTGTGGTGGTGCTGGGCATGGTGGCCCTTTCTACTCGTAAGGCTGAGTTGGGAGACTGAGGGGGGAGGATTGTTTGAGCCCAGGTATTCAAAGTTACAACGATCTATGATTGTGCCACTGCACTGCAGCCTGGGTGACAGTGAAACCCTGCCTCAAATATACATGTTTCAGTAACAACAATAAAAGTAAAGCAAACACCGCTTCACCCTTTCAGTAACCTCATTACAGTTTATTCCATGTAGAATTAAGTTCCATCCCGGCTCTGCCTCTAATCTTAGACATTTTAGTGAGTCTGTTTTTCTAGTACTTAAAAATGTTGAAAATTTCATTGCCATAGCTAGAGTGTGGTAATCAGTAGAGTAGGTGTTTTGGGAATGCTCAGAAAGGACCAAAATGTCCAGATGGCAGCCCTTGCTGTGGTCCTCTGAGCCATGGTGGCATCTTCCCTGTGTAGGCACACGCTCTGGAAGCGGGTACAAGGTGCTGTGACCCCCCTGCTGGCGAGCATGATCTCCTTCATCGACAGAGACGGCAACCTTGAGCTACTGACCAGGACAGGGACTCCGCCCTGGGCAAGAGACCTTTGGATGTTTATTTTCAGTGACATGAAGCTTCTGAACATTCCTCTTGTGATGAATAACTTGAGGTGAATGGAAGACTCTTTTCACAGGGAGGGAAACTCTGAACACAGCAGCGCCCAGATATGCCCTCCCAAGTGCTGCAGGAAACGCAGCCCCCACTTCCAGAGCAGCACTAACGTGGGCACTTTCTGCAGTATCAGCAGCAAGTTCGGCCAGGCACGTGGCTCACGCCTGTAATCCCAGCACTTGCACTTTGGGAGGCCGAGGCGGGGAGACCATCCTGGCCAACACGGTGAAACCCCGTCCCTACTAAAAATACAAAAGGTTGCTGGGCGTGGTGGTACATGCCTGTAGGCCCAGCTACTTGGGAGGCAGAGGCAGGAAAATCGCTTGAACCCGGGAGGCAGAGGTTGCAGTGAGCTGAGATCACGCCACTGCTCTCCAGTCTGGGCAACAAAGCAAGACTCCATCTTGAAAAAAGGAAGTTTACAAAGCTCCCAGAAATCTTTATCTGCACCCTCATTTCCCCGCTTTCAGAGCACCGGTTCTAGTCAGACCCAGCGTGGTGTGGCAGGGAGAAGCCGCGCTTGGAAGAGCTGTGTGATCTGTGGCCCTCCCCCATCCCTCATTCCCTGGGGGAGCTGCCCAGCCCCATCCCCTTCCCCAGGCCTGATGCTGTGGAGCTCAGGCTCAGCTCCCAACAGCTTCCTCCTTGGCTTTCAGGGGTTTCAATTCTGGATGCAGGTTAAGAATATAGAAATAAATGTGCCCAGGCTTGGCGGCTCATGCCTATAACCCCAGAACTTTAGGAGGCTGAGGCGGGAAAGTTCCTTGAGCCCAGGGGTTCAAGACCAGCTTGGGCAACGCAGTGAGACTCCGCCAGTACAGAAAAATTTAAAAATTAGCCAGGCGTGATGTGGCGTGCACCTGCAGTCCCAGCTGCTCTGGAAGCTAAGTGGGAGGATTGCTTGAGCCCAGTAGTTTGAGGTGAGCTATGATCACTCTGCTCGCCGCACTCCAGGCTGGGTGACAGAGATCCCGTCTCAAAAAAAAAAAAAAAAAAGGAAGAAAGAGAGAAAGGGAGGGAGGGAGGAGGAGGAGAGAGAAAGACAGAAGAGAGAAAAAGAAAGGGAGGGAGAGGGAGAGAGAGAAAGAAGAGAGAAAAAAGAAAGGAAGGAAGGAAGGAATTTCAGTTGCCAGTGGAAACACTTGTGTAGAAGGCAAGGAGCTACTGCTGTGGTTACAAATCATCAAAGGGCAGTTCAGGAACCCGAGGACCGAGTTCCGCCTGAGATTCCGGGCAACACACTTGACGTGTCAGCCTTGGTTTGTTTCTGTTTTGTCTGTAAAACAAAAAGATTGCATGAGGGAGTCCCCCGGGCCTGGACTGTGAAATAGGTCAGCGCTGTCTGCCTGGCATGTTGGCCCCCCTGTTTTGAGGCCGGGGAGGAGCTGGAGTCAGTGGTGGATCCTGTCTTGTGTTTCGAGGGGCGCCTCCCAACCCGTCTTCCTGTCACTCCCCTTATTGCAGACGTCAAGGTGAGATGGCCTACATCGTGGTGCAGAACCACATGAACCTTTCAGAGAACGCGTCCAACGATGTCCCGTTCAGCTGGAGAATCAAGGACTATCTGGAGGAGCTGTGGGTCCAGGCCCAGTACCTCACGGATGTGGAAGGTGAGGCCGCCTCAGAACAGGTCAGATTCCGCACAGCTCAATCACAACGGGGTTGCCCGACAGTGAAAGCAGATGGGTGGCTACCATTGCAAGGTGAATTTTGGAGTTTTTAAGTTTCCACACTTTGTGCAGTAGCATCCAATTTATGTAACCATCATTTTAAAGTTTCTGCTGAAGGAGGGAGAGGCCCCAGCAGGGACCAGGAGGCTTCTGGTCCTATGGCAGCAGGACTGTCACATCTATCAGCTGGTCGTTCCCATTCTGGGGCTTCTCAGACTTGGGCACTGGACTCAGGAGATGCCCCCAGTGGAGGCATTCTCAGAAGGCCCGGGTGCCCGGAGCATCCCCTACTCACAACTGCCCCATCAGGAGGCACCTCCCAGCGGTGTCTCCAGAGTCAGCCCACACGTGGTGCTGGCCCCCAAGGGTAATGCAACACTTTTGGAAAAGTCATCTTTCATACATGAAATAACCTTTTCCATGTTTACCTATCGGACCATTTGGAAGACTCAAGGTGGACCCCTTTTCTAGGTCACCATTCTGCCCCTTTTTCTGAACAAACTCAAAGCAGTCTCCCGCCTCAGGAGCATGGCCCCTTCTCGGGACAATACCCTGACTGACCCTGTGATGGCATGCGAATTGGGGGCCGCACCCGCCCTCTAGAAGCCAGATCTTTCTGGCTTGTGTAGTCTGTGACCCCAGCCCCTGAGAAGCAGCCCACTCGTTCCTGACTGACTCGGCCCCAGGGGTTCCTGAAGCACGCCATGACTTACAGCCATGCAACGCACAACTCAGTCTTATCTCAGGGTGTTCTCTTTGGGGCTAGCTTGGCTGTCTCTGACCTAAATTTGATGCCCCTTCTGCTTTCCTTTTATCCCACTGGAAAACTATCCTAGGCTGGGCACAGTGGTTCACACCTATAATCCCAGCACTTTGGGAAGCCAAGGCAGGCAGAACACCTGAGGTCAGGAGTTTGAGACAAGCCTGACCAATATGGTGAAAGCCCATCTCTACTAAAAATACAAAAATTAGCTGGGTGTGGTGATGAATGCCTGTAATCCCAGCTATTTGGGAGGCTGAGGCAGGAGAATCACTTGAACCCTGGAGACAGAGGTTGCAGTGAGCCAAGATCACGCCACTGCACTCCAGCCTGGGTGACAGACTGAGACTCCATCTTAAAAAAGAAAAAAGAAAAAACTATCCTAAGTGTCTAGACAGTGATTATTCCTTCAATTCCCCACAAAATCAGGCAGTTGGTGCCCCTTTGTCTATGAGCTCCCATTCAACAAGGCATCTCCTGTTCCTCTTCCCGCCCCCGGGAAACGGAGCATCCTGGATGCAGGGGAGCGTCAGCACTTAGACGCACTCCAGGCCACTCCTTGGTTTCCTCTGCAGGACTGCCAAAGAGGTTCGTGGAAATCTTTCAGCAGACTCCTCTGGGCAGGTTTCTTGCCCAGCTCCATAGAGAACAGCAGCAGGAACTTCTTCAGTGTTACTCCAAGGACTTCATCCTCTTGACCATGCGCGTATCAACGAGGGAGGAATTAAAGGTGGGTGATTCGCTGCTGGCTGAGGGTCAGGTGCGGAGCTTGCAGAATGGGCCTGGAGGAGACACAGGGACGTTTCTTCAGCCACCTGGAGCTGGTGCTGTGAGGTCTGGGAACAGAACATGGTCTGTGAAGGATGCTGGTGGGGAAGGGGCCACTCAGTCTCCTCTCAGAGCTGCCTGCTCCACCCTCGGCCCACCGCCCAGGGGCTCCAGAAACATGGAGATTTCCATGAACATGAGAAGACCTCCAATTTCCCAGAAATACTTTTTAAATGTTAAGTGTCTATTGAAAAAAAATTAGAGGTAAATATGTAACTAACTCTACAGGGTAAGAATAAGTGAAATTCAATAGAAAGTAATACTTTTGATGACCTAAAAATGTTAAACTTCAGTACACAAAAAAGGAAAGTGACAAATGTGAGAACATCCTTACAGCCAGTATGACTAGAGGTGAATTAAGTCTTCTTGCCGGGCGCGGTGGCTCACGCCTGTAATCCTAGCACTTTGGGAGGCCGAGGCGGGTGGATCACGAGGTCAAGAGATCGAGACCATCCTGGTCAACATGGTGAAACCCCGTCTCTACTAAAAATACAAAAATTCAGCTGGGCATGGTGGTGCGTGCCTGTAATCCCAGCTACTCAGGAGGCTGAGGCAGGACAATTGCCTGAACCCAGGAGGCGGAGGTTGCAGTGAGCCGAGATCGCGCCATTGCACTCCAGCCTGGGTAACATGAGTGAAACTCTGTCTCAAAAAAGAAAAAAATCTTCTTAGGAATCAATAATACCCTAAGTTTTAAAAAATGAGTAAACGTTATAAAACAATTAACAGAGTAATCATATTAACATCCAGAAAACATATGAACAATTTCTTAGCTTTACTCTTAATAGCAAATCAACACAACAGTTTTTAGACATCATATTTACGAATTTATTTTGCAAAGCTGATTTTTTTTTGAGATGAGTTTCACTCTTTGTTGCCCAAGCTGGAGTGCAGTGGCGCCATCTCAGCTCATTGCAACCTCTACCTCCTGGGTTCAAGCGATTCTCCTGTCTTAGCCTCCCCAGTAGCTGAGATTGCAGGTGCCCATTTTGTATTTTTAGTAGAGATGGGGTTTCATCACGTTTGCCAGGCTGGTCTCGAACTCCTGACCTCAAGTGATCCGCCCACCTCAGCCTCCCAGTGTTGGGATTACAGGCGTGAGCTGCCACGCCTGGCCTAGAAAGCTGATTTTTAAAAAGGACAGCTGCCAGTGCTGCAAAGGAAGAGCCAGGCCACACGGCTGACGGTGGTGTGAGCAGCAGGCACCCTGCAGGGCCACCTGGCAGAGCAGTTGAATGCCTCGTTCGATCTGCAGTGCTGACTCTGCCCTGATGCGGACAACGCTTCATTCACAGGGAGGTTGTGTTTAGCTCTGCTTCTAAAAATAAATAGTTGTCCAGAAATACAGGATGGGCAAGTTAAAGTACGGCCACGTGATGGGTTATTGAGCAGCCGTTCAAACAGTTTTTCAAGTATACAAGTGTACTCAGTAATAGAGAAAGTTCACGACGTAAAGAAGACACGGTGGCCCTAACGTGGGATGAGGGAGGAGTGGCAGAACTGGACAGGCGCAGGCCGGGGCAGTAACAGCACGCAGGAGTTGTAATTTCCGCTTTTATGGTTTCCCAACAGTTCTGATTTTCCATGGGAAAGCATACCATTTTTGTCATTTAAAAATAGATTCTAAAAGCTTGTTTGAATCCCAGTTTCTGCAGATGGCTCTGTGGTCCTGCATCCGTGAACTAAAAGTGGCGTCAGAAGTGCCTGAGAAAGAGGTTTCCCTGCCATGGGTGCACCTAGCCTACCAGCGTTTCAGAAGCCGGCTGCAGAACTTCTCCAGAATCCTGACCATCTATCCCCAGGTTCTCCGCAGCCTGATGGAAGCCTCTCAAAACCACGAGCTGGCTGGACATGAGATGGTATGGCCCTCCTCCACCTGCCTTGAGCCAGCATTGGGGTGCTTCCAACTTCACTCTGGGAAGGGAAAGCTTTGGGGCTGTGTTCCAGGTAGAAGACTTCTTCACGAGGCATATACCTCAGCTTAACTCGGAGATGTTAAGAACACAGCTTGTTGACGCTTCCCGTACCCTAGACAATGAAAGATTAGGTTGCAAGCCTGGGACACAAGTATCCATGCAGCTAACAGCCAGGGCCTTTGGCACGTGGAAAACGGGGGCCAGGGGCAGTGGGTGGGGGCACTGCTCAGCTATGCCCTGCTGTCCGTCTCCCAAGAACCTGGACGCGTTTGCCGCAATGGCCTGCACCGAGATGCTGACCAGAGACACCCTGAAGCCCAGTCCCCAGGCGTGGCTACAGCTAGTGAAGAATCTTTCCATGCCACTGGAGCTCATCTGCTCCGATGGGCACATGCAAGACAGCGGGACCCTGGCCCAGGCTGTCATCAGGGAAGTCAGGTGAGAACCAGATGCCCTCCCCCACTGCTTCATCCAGCACGAACTCACCAGGAGCCTGCCCAGTGCCAGGCTGAGTGAGTGGCATCCTCGTTGTACCCTGGGCTCCTTCGTGGGGACTTGAGTGGCATCCTCATTGTACCCTGGGCTCCTTCCTGGGAGCTGAGTGAGTGGCGCCCTCTTTCGACAGAGTCCACTGGAGTCGGATTTTCTCCACTTCGCTCTTTGTAGAGCATGTGCTCCTGGGAATTGAGAGCCAGGTCCCCGAGTTAAGCAAGCTGGTGACCGAGCACGTCTTCTTACTAGACAAGGTGAGTGCCTGGGCTGCCTTAGCACATGCATGGCTCCCCGCTTTTCCAGAAGGAAGAACAGCGCTGACACTGATCTGCAGCTGCGAGCCGCTTTTTTTGGCTTTGACCGTTTTGTCTGGAAGTGGGAAGGAAAGTGATTTTATCACTAAGCCATTACCTTTTCCATGTTTAATTATCTACCCTCTGCTGATTGCTAAGTCAGGGTGTATCATTTAGAAACTATTCCAGGAACTGTGTGCAGAAAGGGACTGATGCAGGAAACATCCTTGTGAAACCCCCGGGAGGGGTGGCCTGGCCTGTTGGGAGTGAGTCCAGAATACACCAGTAGCCTGGCCATCCGTGGGAGCTGTTACCGTTGCCACGGTCATTGAGACAGGGATGTCAGAGAATGCCACTGGGGTTGGGGCCTTCAAAACAGTGCTGTCAGAAGAACCAAGGGAACAGGAAGCCATGTGCCTGTCCCTCAATACCCTTCATAAAGCTGCTTATGTGGGGCGGTGCCCTGCAGAGCAAAGCCTGCGACCCTACAGTGATGCATCTATATCACAGAGAAACTTCCCATTTGCTCTCAAGCACACATATGCAAGAATGCTGGATACGGGACTGTTAGGAATTGCAGAAAATCTAAATGCCCATTACCCAGCAGACAGGTACAACACAGCACCTAACAGCAGCCATCCGGACCTAATGTGTCATGAAGAAAATGAGCTGCAGAGGCCTGTATATAGTACGATATCATTGATACAAAGGTTTAAAACATTCAAAACAATGCCATGTTGATACATGCTTACAGCTCTCCCGAAAGTAGAAATTTAAAAATGTGGTCCTTTCTGGGGAGGGGAGGCAGGGAAATCTGATCAGAAAGGGGTGTAGAAATTGTAACTATGTATAATGTTTTCTCTAAAAAATGATCTATCCCAGCTGCTTAGGGGGGCTAGAAGAAAAAAAATTTTTTTAATGATCTAAAGCAAATATTCCAAAAACGCTGAGATTTCTTAAAGCTTGGTGGGGGATCTCTGGATGCTATCATTGAAAGTCTGAACTATCTCCTAGTGGTGGGAGGGGAGGCGACCTTGAAGGAAAAAGGAGAGGGGAAACCGTGGCTTGAGAATTTAGTCCTGTGACAAGCCGTAATCGCTAAAAGAGCCTTTAAACTGCTAAACGAAGAATTGTGAAGGCCTCCCACCTCACGCACATGCATCACGGCCCTGACTCTGTGCACGCGGTGTCCCTCCGCTGCCCGGCCTGGCCGCCCTCAGCCATCCCTACCGCTAATGATTCCTGTCACTGCCTTTCTTCAGCGTCTTCGAGAGAACTCTGACGTCAAGACCCGCAGGCCTTTTGAGGCCGTGATGAGCACTCTCTGTGAATGTAAGGAGAGAGCCAGCAAGACCTTCACCAGGTGAGACCTTAGGTTTGGATCTGTGAAGGTGGGAATGCTGACTCATGGTTTTCACTTTTTCTGGCCAGTTTCTCTGCTTCAGAACTGATCACCCTTCTTGGATTCCAGGTTTGGGGTCCAGCCATGCCCCATCTGCCTGGGAGACGCACAGGACCCCGTCTGTCTGCCCTGCGACCACGTGTACTGCCGGCGCTGCCTAGAAGCCTGGCTGGTCTCGGGGCAGATGATATGCCCCTTCTGTTTAACTGCCTTGCCAGACAAATTCTCTCCAACTGTTTCCCAAGAGCACAGGTAAAACACCATTTTTTTCACGAAAGCATCTGTTTTTTCCCTTGTTTGCGAAACACAATATTCAGAAATATAAACTCTATTAACCTTTGTTTGGTAGAAAACCTGATTTCAGAGAACTATCATAAGAGACACGACACCACTTAGGTACTTTCATAAATATCTGGTATCTCAAGATTATTCTCTCCCCAAGACATACGCATAGATTTGAGAGTGCAAATTCAGAGGAATTTAAGCCAGAAAGTCATAATAAAGATCTTCACCAGAGGCCCAAGGAATTTAGATGCTACTGGTCTTTTTTTTTGAGGTAAGAGTCTCAGTCTGTTGCCCAGGCTGGAGTACAGTGGCATGATCTCGGCTCACTGCAACCTTTGCCTCCTGGGTTCGAGCAATTCTCCTGTTTCAGCCTCCTAGGTAGCTGGGATTACAGGCAGCCATACCCGGCTAATTTTCTTGTATTTTTATTAGAAAAGGGGTTTCACTATGTTGGCCAGGCTGGTCTCGAACTCCTGACCTCAGGTGATCTACCTGCCTCGGCCTCCCAAAGCGCCTGGCAAACACCACTGGTCTTAATGCATCAACATCATTCACAGTCTCTGACCTGAGGACCAGCCCACTTCCTGTCTGGCTTTTCAGAGGTGGTTAAAAGCGGCTCTAGCTCTCTGGGCTCAGCGGGCCTCAGCCCTACTCTATGAGGGCTTGGTTTTCCTTCCTTCCCCTTCCCTTCCTTCTCAGGCCTCCTAAAAATGGAGCACCAGGCAAGCCCGGCGGATAGGCTCTTTGACATACTTTGGGATACTGAAGGGCGTTGTTGGCTGGTGCAAATGATCAAAGTGTTTCTAGAAAGAGAGGCGTCTAAATACCATCTGTTGTTTTGAAGACTAGCTCTAATGGATGAGAGGAATGATTTGAATCCTTAACAGTGAAAGGCAGGGCTCGGTGCAGTGGCTCACGCCTATAATCTCAGCACTTTGGGAGGCTGAGGCAGGTGGATCACCTGAGGTCAGGAGTTCGAAACCAGCCTGGCCAACATGGTGAAATCCAGTCTCTACTAAAAGTATGAAATTAGCTGGGCATGGTGACGGGTGCCTGTAATCCCAGCTATTGGGGAGGCTGAGGCAGGGGAATCACTTGAGCCCGGGAGGTGGACGTTGCAGTGAGCCGAGATCGCACCACTGTACTGCAGCCTGGGCAACAAGAGCCAAACTCTGTCTCAAAAAAAAAAAGGGAAGTGCTGTCCAAATCTCCAGTCATTCTGTGAGGAGGGATTTGGGAAACACCACCCCCCGGTCTTCTGATTTGTGCTCCTCGTGTCCTAAGGGAAGCCATTGAAAAGCACGCCCGCCTCCGGCAGATGTGCAACAGCTTCTTCGTAGACCTGGTGTCCACCATGTGCTTCAAGGACAATGCTCCGCCTGAGAAGGAGGTGATCCACAGCCTGCTGTCTCTGCTGTTTGTCCAAAAGGAGCTCTTAAGAGATGCCCACCAGAGTAGGTCACTCTCTTCCTGTAAACCTGGAAGCTTATTTCTGCATCTCGCTCCTGCACGCCTCACGCAACCAGCTGCCTTTCTCTTTCTGGTTTAAGGACACCGCGAACACACCAAATCCCTCTCTCCATTCAATGACGTGGTGGATAAGACTCCCGTCATCCGCTCGGTGATACTGAAGCTGCTTCTGAAGTACAGGTAAGAGCAACAACATGCAGACTTGCTTCTGGAAAGCCCCGGCCTTTGCTCTTCATCACGGCCCTTTGTTACTGAGTCTTCTCGTCATGACCAGTAGCTGGTACGTAATCTGGGGGAGCTTTTTTGGTGAGAGACGACCTGGTTATCTGTACTGGTTGGGTATTCTGACGTTTTCACACTAGGCACGAGTTTAGTACACCTATAAGCACACATCTAGCCAGAAGCCAACAGTGCCATGAGGGGATGGTGGTGGCGTGAAGGTCACGGAACTCAGGAGGCAGGCATCTGTGGTGCTGACCTGGTCCCACAGCGGCCTCGTCTGTGGTTTTCAGGGTGGTAGCTTAGACTGCCGCTCACCCCGAATGTCCTCCATGTCTTCTAACGATACTCCCCCAACACGGACTCTGTGTATTTCCTTGTGAAAGGCTGCTGACATCCAATAGTGTCCCTGGTGGTACTTGTATTGCTCTAATATTGCAGTTCTCAGAGTGTTGGTGTGGACCCTTGGGTGTGAGGTAGGTCTCTGAGGTCAAACTGTTTTAAAAATTAGAATACTAAGATAAATTTGCCTTTGTTTTTAGCATGGTGACACTTAGGGTGACGTTACAAAAGCAGTGGTGGGTCAAGCCGCGGCCCCGTGCACGAACAATGCTGTAGTCGCAACATCGTCTTCAGCACCGTGCTTAGGTGGTATTTGTTCATGCCAGTTTCATTTTTACTAAATCTTGACTCTAGAGGATTTGACTTTTTAATGTTTTGTGGAAACGGGAAGCACACAGAACACACTCCCCCTGCACACCAGAGGGGACGCTGACCTCGCAGAAAATCACTTGTGACAAGTGCCAAGTTAGCAGCCGCTTTGCTTCTGGGCTGGCTCTTGTGCTGGGCGGATGCACGTGAGTTCTCCAGGGCTGGGCAGGCCCCTCCTAGAAATCCGCAGAGCATGCTGGCCTCATCCAAACAGCTGACGGTGTTGACTTAAAGACATTTTAAGGCAATCTGTGGTGATATTAATGAATGTGGAAAATGTAGAATCAAAATGTGTCAAATTTTGCAAGACCTGCATAGCCCAGTGAACCGATATTTTCCAAATGACCAACGCCTGATGTCACAAAATCATGTGTGGGTCAAAAAACAAAAACATTTAACGTATAGGCAGGCCGGGCATGGTGGCTCACACCTGTAAACCCCAGCACTTTGGGAAGCTGAGGTGGGTAGATCACCTGCGGTCAGAAGTCCGAGACAAGCCTGGCCAACAAGGTGAAACCCCATCTCTACTAAAAATATAAAAATTAGCCAGGCATGGTGGTGGTGGGCGCCTGTAATCCCAGCTAGTTGGGAGGCTGAGGCAGGAGAATTGCTTGAACCTGGGAGGCAGAGGCTGCAGTGAGCTGAGATTGTGCTACTGCACTCCAGCCTGGGTGACAGAGCAAGACTCCATCTCAAAAAAATAATCAAGTATCCGGCAGAACTTTTAACATAACTATGAAAAAATGCATTGATATGGCTTCAGGTTCCACACTGCAACTAACCTTCAGACATGATCATTTGTCACTGTTGGCACAGTGTTAAGGAATGATGTCCACAGTGATCTGCAAAACCTGTGAAACATTCCTCGCTGCTCCAAGGGTGTGAGGACAGGTTTTCTTCATGTTCCTCACATGGCGCAGCAGATGAGGAGCAGAGGCAGGCAGGCAGGCAGCAGACTTGCAGGGGCCAGGCCCCAGGGTGAGAACAGGAATGGGAGACCAAGCCCTTCTCACTGATACATGTTTTGGAAAAGCTTTTTAAAACGTTATTTATCATGTAATAGCTTTACTGTTATTTTAAATGAAAACTTTTGTTTTTAATGTCTCATAATTCCTATCATAAATATTGATAATATAACCCACACAAAGAAAAGCTCTTCGGGGTTCTCAATAATTTTTAAGACTATAAAAGGGTCCTGAAACCAAAAAGTTTCAGAACAGCTGCTCTAAAATGGTTTATATTCCCAGTATTATGCTACAGTGTTTTCCCTAAAATGCCAGAAACTACATATATGTGTATGTTTATATACATACAGACAGGATAGATGACCTTTTTTTAGTAAGATACATCTCCAGATCTGAGAGAGCCAGGAATAATATTTCTCTTCCCACAGCTTCGATGATGTAAAAGATTATATTCAGGACTACTTGACCCTGTTAAAAAAGAAAGCATTCATAATTGAAGATAAAACGGAACTGTACATGCTGTTTATCAACTGCCTGGAGGTAAGCGAACTCTCTCTTCCCTGAATTTCTTTTGCAAACTATCTGAACCACATGGTTTAAAATGTACAGAATAATTTTAGTCAGTATAATTAACAAATGCTCTGTTAATTATAAATAGAATTATATATAAAAAAGAAAGGTTTCAAAGACATTGCTTCTGCCTTCAGCAGTGTATACACTGGCACTTATGTGCATATGCATACAAAAAGAACAGCCTAGAAGAATGAATATACCACCAAAGTTAACAGTGGTTATCACTGGGTGCAGACATTATGAATACTTTTTATTATCTTCATAAAGTACATAAATTAGATTATATAAAACTTTTTCTTCATAGGTTCACTTTTTCCCCTCCTTCTTGCCCTTAAAATAAAAAGGAGTATTAGGTTTCCATGAGTCAAGAAACTTATACCGAAACCTGCAATAGCATTTTTTAGCCTTCCTTCATTCTCCACAGGCACACTGGCAATTTTAGAAGCTTGAGGCTTCCATATTTAAAAGAATAATATCCTTTTCTTCCTTGTTCCTTCGTCCTCAGGATTCAATACATGAGAAGACCAGTGTTTGCTCCAGAAATGATGAACTGAACCACCTGAGAGAGGAAACTGTTTTCCTTAAGACATATTCTCCAGTGCGACGTGGCCGAGAGCCTGCCCACGAGGCCTCGGTGGAATACCTGCAGGAGGTGGCCCGGATCCGCCTCTGCCTCGACAGGGCTGCGGATTTCCTCTCGGAGCCCCAGGGAGGCCCAGGCAAGTCTTCTCCACCTTGCTTTACTTTGGGCTGAAAGACTCCGTTATTTAGAAATTCCGGGAGTGTGGGAACTGGTTCTACGAAGAGACTACTACTACTGGGCCTTTCCACGTCCTCTCCCCCGGGACGTGCTTCTGTGAATTCCCGTGGGGAGGTCCTGTGCCCTTTGGTTGGCCTTGTGTCCTTCTATAAATGCTCCAAGTCACCAGCTGCTCACCCACTTTCTCGTCGGCCTTTCAGAGATGGCGAAGGAGAAGGAGTGCTACCTGCAGGAAGTCAAGCACTTCTGTACCCGCGGCGGGAACGACTGGCACCGGGTGTACCTGGTGCGGAAGCTCAGCAGCCAGCGGGGGATGGAGTTCGTGCAGGGCCTCTCCAGGCCGGGCCATCCGTGCCAGTGGGTGTTTCCCAAGGAAGTCATCGAGCAGCAGGTGAGAAGTGGGGCCGGCAGCCCTTGAACATGGACCCCCACACACCCCACACTCCCATACACCATGCCCACATACCCCTCATCACACCCACACCCCCACCCAAACCCCACACACCACACCCCTACACACCACACCTGCCATACCACACCCACACACCTCTACACCAACACCCCGCACCCACCACGCCCCCACAACACATACCTACACCCCACATCCCTAAACCCATAACCCATACCAACCACACCTCCACGTCCCACGTGCCCACACCCCTACACCACACTCTCGTGCCATACCCCCACACATCATGCCCTCACACTATGCCCTCATACCCATACACCACACCCCCGGCTGGTGCCGATGCTCCTGCATTCTGCCCGCCCTCAGCGTCGCAGGAGCAGAAACATGTGCTTGTCTGTCTGGTCCTTCCTCTCTGCCTTCCACTGATCTGCCCCAGCTGGTGATCAGTTAAACGTAGTTCACCTTGCAAGGTGCGGCCTTGTTACCTCTGACAGGCAGAGAGATGCAAGAGTGAGAACTAAGAATAGAAGAACTGTGTAAAAGGCTTCAAGGCCAGGTGTGAGCCCCCGGTGGGCGCGGGGGCTCACACCTGTCATCCCAGCACTTTGGGAGACTGAGGTGGGTGGATCACTTGAGGTCAGGAATTCATCGAGATCAGCCTGGCCGACATGGTGAAACTTTGTCTCTGCTAAAAATAAAAGTAAAAAAAATTTAGCTGGACGTGGTGACGGGTGCCTGTAATCCAAGCTACTTAGGAGGCGGAGGCAGGAGAATTGCTTGAACCCAGGAGGCGGTGGTTGCAGTGAGCCAAGATTGCACCACTGCACTCCAGCCTGGGCGACAGAGTGAGACCACTCCTTCCCACTCCCAAAAAAGAGGCTTTGAAGCCTCTCAGTGGTCCTTTCCAGGTGCCCAGAAATTAACAAATTCTTATTGTCCTGGGGATCAAAAATGGTACTAAAACCTGGCACTGTGACCTGACTGGAGTCACCCAGCCTCAGGCATGGTGCAGGGCAAGCCCCGAACGTCAGAAGCAAGCAGCTCCCCGGTCAGCACTGCTGTCCCCAGGCGTTCCCTGCTCTCGCACCTCTTCCTCTACGGAGGAGGAAGCTCCTGCCAAGAAGGCACCAGACTGCCCTGCCTTAGGCCAGGGTGGGAAATCCCAGTTCGGCTGCCTTTAAACCTCAAATGATCACCTGCTCCTACACCTAGTAAGACAGTTCTTTGCAAAACATTCCTCCCATCGTTCACCCCCAACTAACCCCTGTGTTCCCGGGGCTGCAGAAGGACCACCCAGGCCAGATGGATTGGTACCTGGTGTATGGCAATGAATACAAGGCCCTCCGAGACACTGTGGCCAAAGCTGTCCTCGAGTGCAAGCCGCTGGACATCGAGACTGCTCTGAAGGTAGGGTGGGCCCGTGGCTTCTCACCGATACCAGATGACACCCCTTGGGGCCTGCGTGTTCCCTGGGTGACGTCAAGCGATGCAGGGTGGTGGACCACTGAAGCCCTGATCACGTGACACTGTACTGCAAGTCCCGTGCCCATGGCCTCCGGGGCGCACCTGGCCGGTATGCGCTAACCAGTGACTGGAACGGGACAGCTGTGACAGCTGGGCCAGGTTGACAGATTTGCTGTCTTGCTGATCTGCCGAGGCCGTCGGCAGCCCCTGTTGATTTGTTTCTGTCCATTGCTTCCTTTGAGACCCTGTGGGAAAACAGTGGCAGAAAGATGCTGACACGACTATTAATAGCAGAATTCCTATCTATATGTGTTTGCGATTCACAGACATGCCTGTGCTTAATAAAAATACACACGTTGGTGTAGTGTGGGAAGTTAAAAAATATAAAGATGTTTTTAGAATCTAACCTTTAAATTGGTCTGATCTGGCTTCCTTTTTGAGTTCCTGTGCCAGGAAAGGAGGAAATAGAAAATCCTTTCTGCTCAGGAAGTTTCTAAGACCAGTGAAGGAGTCAGAAGAACAGATGGTGATTCCGTTGCTTCTGTTATTAAGCTGTCTGCTAAACATGCATTGAGTTTAATCTGAGAGTATTTTAGGAACTTTGTAGCCCAAAAGTTGCTTGCCACTTGATGGCCCATGTGGGTCCTGACCCCAGGTGTCCAGGCCTAGAAAAGGCTCCTTCCCTGATTGGTGGGTTGAGGGCTGAGGCACTTTCCTTTTCACATGCAAACTATGTGGGCCTTTGGCCCTTAGGCAGATCCAGGGGTGGGGGCGGGCAGTACCTCACACCTGTAATCCCAGCACTTTGGGAGGCCTAGGCGGTTAGATCAGTTCAAGACCAGCCTGGCCAACATAGTGAAACCCTGCCTCTACTTAAAAAATGCATGTGTATACGTGTGTGTGTACACACCACATACACTTGGAGGCTGAGGCAAGGGAACTACTTGAACCCGGGTGGCAGAGGTCGCAGTAAGCCAAGATTGTGCCACTCCACTCCAGCCTGGGCAACAGAGCAATACTCCATCTCAAAAAAAAAAAAAAAAAGAAAAAGACCTGCTGAGCCTTTAAATTCTCACTTGATGCCCTTGATTTTGCAGGCCTGCCGGACCCCCAGAGCCCTGCAGGCAGTCCACTTCCTGTTGGCGCTGTTTAGAGAGGTGGCTATTCTGTACAGATCCCACAATGCGAGCCTCCACCCCACGCCAGAGGTGAGTAACCGCCTTCAAGGCTGGGTTCAAAGTCTCAGTGTTTGGAGGGGCTTTATTGAGTAGAATACAAGTTAACACAAATCATGCCATAATTTTTTAATCTAGGATGGAGGTTTTCAACCTTGTTATATGGAACAACTATTTTCTTTAACCCAAAGCTTGCAGAATTACAATGAAAACTAAAGAACCTAAGACAGTGTTTCACACACAGAATATCAGAATTGATGCTTACACATGTGGAGGCTGTGTTTGTTTACGCAAATTCTCTTCTCTGAAAAATTACCTTGATATTTGATGTATAGTTGGTGCCAGCGTATGCCTGAGAGCAGACCTCTGAATTCACACAATATTCTTTGATGTATCTTAATGTTATTTTTTTCCTGTCAGCAACGTGAAGCTGTGAGCCAGTTCATTGGCGAATGCAAGATCCTTTCATCTACTGATATCAGGCACTTTGCAACATCTCTCGTGGACAATTCTCTGCCATTGTTGAGGGCGGGCCCCAGTGACAGCAGCCTTGAGGGCACAGTGACAGAAATGGCCATTCACACTGCAGCCGTCCTTCTGTGCGGACAGAATAAAGTCTTGGGACCCCTGAAGAATCTGGCCTTCTCCCCAGCCGACATGGCGGTAAGAATAGGCTCCGATTCCACGGGCCTTCACCAGTACCCGCGCCGAGAGCTTGTCACTGTGGAGACCAAGCTGCAGCCGTGGGCACTCTTGAGCATCTTTATCTCCTTGATTCTTGAGCACACAAGATAGTGGCAGACTTGCCTTGGCCTTTGTTATTTCACTGGGAGCTCTTCTGTTTTCTTCACAGATAGCTTCAGAAGTCAACTAGAAGGCACCGCTCTCCTTGTTCCTCTAGGCCTCCTGCTGAGCAGCCACACCATCCACATGCTCACTTATCCAGTGCTCTGTTTTCTTGTTTTTCAGAATGCTTTTCTCCCAACCATGCCTGAAGACTTGCTGGCTCAGGCTAGGAGATGGAAAGGTCTGGAGGGAGTCTCCTGGTACAGTAAGTGTTGGGGTCTCCTCTCAGCTTCACGGGGTGTCCGGATGCCACGAAGCATTGGGTTCGACTTGGGGCCCACCTGGTTTGTGCCTCAAGGTCCCAGATCATCTGTCTTCTACCCATGGTGTCTGAAGAATATGGGTGGCTTGAAGGAGCTGGCATTCCACTAGCTAGATGATCCAAACCATTGCATTTCCTAGTCGTATGGAAAAGACCCTCTGGGATGCACTTCTGTTCTCTGGAATACGCTATTTTGGGAGGCGGAGGGGACGGGGAGCACAGCAGAGACGCATTCACAGGCCTCTCACAAAACAAGTTTTTGACACAAAGATAGCTCTTCTGAAATACATGAAGTATAGCACTGGGAGACGGACTAATATAACCCCTGACACGTACCTTTTGCTGTTGCCTGAGTAAATGTTTTAAAACTAGTTTTCAAAGTTGTTATAACATACGCTCGCGACAAAAAACAGGATCAAAGAGAACTGAAGGGTCTAGAATTCTATCCACCTTGCTCCAGAAGTGCGCCTGCCACGGGCCTATCTTCTAATTTCTCTGTGCTTCGGACAATTAAACTCAGACATTTTTCACTGACAACATACACCTGTTGAGCTTCAGGCAGGTGTCATAGCACTTAACAGATCAGCTCCGGATCTGGTGGGTGCCCTGGACACCCATTCTCATATTTGGGTCAGGGCCAGAGAGTAGAGAATTAGCTTTCCCCTTTCAATGTGGGTGATTTGGTGAAACCTCATTAGCTAATGTGTGTCCTGTTCTCTTCACAGCTTGTCCCAATGGCCATCCTTGCTCCGTGGGAGAGGTGAGTCTTGGTATTTAAGATAGGGCGTGAGGGGTGGCATGCATGCCAGGGTGGGAGGAGCAGGATCGTGGGCGAGGAGAGTGAGGCTCTCGGCTTTCGAGGAGAGCACAGGCTCACTGTGGACTGCCCTGGGTGCTCTGAGCATGGCGGTGTCAATGGTGCTAAGGGTTTCTAGCTTGGGGCTTTTCGGCCTCCGCACTGTGGACAGCCTGTGGGATGTCTGGCAATATGCCTGACCTCGAGTCCCTGGAGGCCAGGAGCACTCCTCCTCCCAATGTCAGAGCTAAAGCCAGACACTGACAAAGGCGCCCTAGGAAAGAAAATTGCTACTGGTTGGGAACTGCTGCTAGCCATTCTTTCTAGCCACTGCAGCACGGGATCAGTGGCCCTGGTCTTGATAGAATGGCAAGGTGTGGCCTGGACCACAGGCTGCATGATTAGCCCATAGAGAAGGCTCGTCTAGACGTCAAAGGACGGGAAGAAGCGACTTGTAGATTGTGTGCCGTGGAGAGGAACGTGATTATTCCTGTCTGTATTCTCAAGCATCTAGCTCAGAGCCCTCCATAGTGTCTATACTTGCTGAGCAAGAGCCTGGTGGGTTGAGCCGATACACGGTAGTAATTCGTTAGTGTTACTTACTTACTTGGTTGAGACAGTGTCGGGCTCTCTTGCTGGAGTGCAGTGGCATGATCATAGCTCACTATAACATTGAACTCCTGGGCTCAAGTGATCCTCCTGCCTTGGCCTCCCAAAGTGTTGGGATTATGAGCCACTGTGCCCAGCCTGATATGTGTCATTTAATACAGTATATAAGAGACACGAAAGGAGAAAAACTGATATATACATTTCATTTTTCTGAGCTTCAATCACTTCCTTGTCCATGAAATGAGGAGACTGAAATAGATTCTATCCAGGCATGCTCCCAGCTCTGAAATTCTGTGACTGGTTTGTCTGTTGTCAGCTGTGATTCTCAGTATTCAGTAGCACAATATCCGATTTTGAAAAATGAGCCTCTGGAAGTAGATCATATGACTGGATTTTTTAAAATAAAAAAGTCCAAGCCAGGTGTGATAGCTTATACCTGTAATCCCAGCACTTCAGGAGGCTGAGGCAGGCAGATTGCTTGAGCCCAGGAGTTTCAGGCCAGCCTGGGAAACATGTTGAAACCCTGTCTCTACAAAACACACAAAGCATCAGCAGGGCACGGTGGTGCATGCGTGTGGTCCCAGCTACTTGGAGGGCTACGGTGGGGAGGACAGCTTGAGCCTGGGGAGGTCAAGGCTGCGGTGAGCCAGGATGGTGCCATTGCATTCCAGCCTGGATGACAGAGCAAGATAAATATATGAAAGTCCAAATGGACATAAGGAAGTCAGTTTGGAAGCTATTCTAGTGTTCTTGGTATTAGATCGTGAAGGGCTACAGGCCAGTGTGATAGATGGAAGAACTGAAAAAATGCTGAACATGAGAAAGGAAGGTTGAATTTTATGTACTTGCCTGTAAAGTGTCACCCTGGGAATAAAGCTTAAATTGTCTCATTAAAAAAAAAAAAAACCAGTTCAAATTTGCCCATGTACAACATTAGTGAGTACCTACCCTGTGCCCATGGGTTCTCTACCCACCTGAAATGCTGGAACAGACAATCTGAGGCCGCTCACATCCTCCAGCGATAAGGGGGTGTCATTTGCAGGACAGCATTTGTACATAAAATGGTACTGTCTCCAGAAGTGATTCTGAGTGGCCTCTGTCTTCACTGTAGTGCGGCAGGCCGATGGAACAGAGCGTATGCATTGACTGTCGTGCACCGATTGGAGGCGTTAACCACAGACCTCAGGACGGCTTTAAAATGGTCAGGTATGTGCGCCGGGGTTGTACTTCCTAATTATCAAACCTTGGGGTGTCAGGCTGTTTTTCTTCCAGCTGATAAAGTGATACTCAAGATAGTACTAATCTGGACCTGTGTCAGGCTGAATAGCAATGCCGAAGGCCCACGAGTCACACAGCAGGGAGGTATCGGACCTGTTGTTGGCTCACTGGGCCCTGAAATGCAAAGCAGACTACACTTTAATACTCGTTAATATTAACACAGGTGTCTTCCTTTTGGGCCTTGGGTGCACCCTCTATAGAAATATGCGGTGGTGTTTTTTTTTGTTTTTTTGTTTTTTTTTTTTTGAGAAAAAAGAAGGAGACATAGTCTTATCAAATGCCAGACTTCAGATAGAAACCTGACCCCACACTGAGATGAGCGCGGTTCTAAGTGCTGCTTTCAGAGAGGAGTGGGACCTGCACAGTCCTCACGTTCCGACTGTCCCACTGCCGTCACCGCTGCACATATTTTCATGTTATCTCCAGAACCTAGCCCAGTGTCCTCCAACCTCTCGTTTTTGCCACTGAGAGTATCTACCACACTGTACCTCCCATCTGCCAGACTCTGGATCTCAGTTGTTCCTTTGGGAAAATGAGAACAACATGGACACCCATGGGATACCAACTGTCCCAAACTCTAGCTGTTCTTAGCCCAGCTGCTCCTCGCCCAACAGACTTCAGTGGAAAAGATGGGTCCAGGCCTGCGTCCTAACACCCTGCCCCAGGATCGGTATCAACAGGGCACAGCGCAGCCACTTTACGCTGAGAATGCAGTGGGGTCTAGTCCGCCAGAAAGGCCAGTCTGTCACGAGAGACTCTTAGGAACATGGCCTGGGCTTAGTGGAACAAGAAGTTCTTTGGACGTAGCTGTCTTCTCGGCCATGAGCCTCAGTCCAAGCGCTGAGAATGTGCAGTGTGCCCAAGCGGCCGGCCTCAGCCTTTACCCTGTGTTCTCTTGTTCTTTCCAGCAACAACGAAGACAGAACGCAGACTGGCCACGTGCTAGGCAACCCACAGCAGAGAGACCTGGTGGTGACGTGTGACCGAGAGCTGCCCCCACTGGTCTTCATACTTATCCGGCTACTTACTCACTTGGCTCTGCTTCTGGGAGCTGCCCAGAGTCCCCAGGTATAGCCCGGTCCTGCCAAACAATGCGTTGAGCTACTCTAGGAAGAACCTGCTTTCCCCTCTTCCCAGGGAGTCCTAGCTGCTGCATTCTGAAGATAATTAGTCTGTAAAGTTATATGAAGGTTACACATCCTCATGCCCTGTGGCATAGGAGGGTATGGGGAAGTACTCACCAGATATAAAATCCACTTCTGATCAACAACTGTGTCTTTGGTCCACATCAGGGAGTAGAGATGCTGACATCTGCGTTATTTTACCTGTGTCTTCGTTGTGGTTCTAGGGAAGAAACACAGAGCATGCTGCATTCTTCTAAGATAATACTAACCAAGAGGGCAAAAAGTACAGGCTCTGAGGATTCTCTCTCTCACTCTAATAACAGAAAAGCCAGCAGCTGTTCCGCTTGCTCGCCTTCCTCTCACCTGTTGGAATCGTGCTTGGATCACTCCACAGCTTTCATCTTAGAGACCTCCTTCCACCTCAGTGCTGGCGCTCCACTCCCAACAGCCTCTACCAGGCTCCCCATCTCATCTACAAACCAGATCCCAAATCCCACTGAGCGCTCTGTTCTGTTGCCCCCATAGGCTCTGATGAACATCATTAAGCCTCCAGTGAGGGATCCACAAGGCTTTCTGCAGCAGCACATCCTGAAGGACTTGGAGCAGTTGACCAAGATACTGAGACACAGTGCTGATGAGACCACCAGTGTAGTCCACCTCGTCCTGCGCGGGCTTCTCCAAGAGCGGAACCAGCTCTCTGGCAAGAGTGAGGAAAGGGGCAGGGGCTGGGCGGGGATCACGTGGCACAACTGCAGTGAAAGCGGCTCGCTGTCTTTGGACCACCCCACACGTGGCCAGTCCGAGCTCTGTCCGTGCTATGGCTGGAAAGAATGAGAGAACACACAGAGAAAACCGTGTCTAGGGAAGGCAGTGCCTGGAGCTGGGAAGAGGGAGCACGTTGCTTGCCCAGAGGATGTTAGGAGCTGCTCTGTTCTCTCTATTCACCTCTGCCTGGCTAAGACCCGCAGTACTCAGGTGCACCTGCACAGAAATGGTCCGCGTGCATATATGGGAGTCTTTTCAGTTCCAACGTCAGCCCCACAGGTCATTCCCTACCATGCTGGGAGTGCGTATCGCCCCCATAGGTAGTGTGTGTCAAAGACACGTCACCATTGCAGCTCCTGCTTTCCCAAACACATCGCAGTTGTGTGCTGATGTATTAAATGTTTATATGTCCAGTTATGTAAAAAAAAAAAAAAAGCAGGCTATAAAATATTGTATTCACTGAGCTAATTTTAAAAAATTTTAAATCCATACAGAAAGAAAAGGTCTGTAAAACAACTTAGTAAAATGGTTATCCATGAGTGGCAGAATTAAAAGTGATTTGCTAATCTGCAAAAACCACAATTACTATTGTGAGGACAATGTTATTTAAAGTAATAACAACAGCAATGAAAAGTCCTGCCCGTGGTAAGAAAATCTGCTCCCACCTCAGATACTTCTTTGCCTGAAACCCGCATTCGTATTTATTTTCCATTTTGAACAATCTGATTTGACTTTAAGCCTCTTATTCTGGTGGGATTTCAATGAGTGTGCACACCCACAGTCACACTGAAGAAATGACAGAATCCTGGAGGCAGGCGGACAGTCTGTTCCTGCAGCACTCTGCATCTGTGTGGCCCGCCTCAGGCTTGGGTGGCAGCAGCTGAGTTGGCTGGTGACGGCCCGGCCCGTTACTACGTCCTGGGCTTTGAAGCTTAGGTTCTGTTCCTTCAGTACTTTTTTCAAAATAGTTCTAAGATTACAATTATGTAAGGTAGAGGGAATTTTTAGAGATTGACATTATCTTAAAGACCATTCAGGTGATGGCGGCAGAACTATTTCAAAATACTTAGATTAATTTAGAAAACTATTGCTTCAAAGGGAGCGTTATTTCCATTAAACACTTACTTAGTGTTTAATATACACAGACTGCTGTGTTCTTTGTGCCCTGGGCAACCTACACATTTTGGGGTTTTTTTGTAGGACTTTTAAATTTTGACACAAGACTGTCAACTAAAGAAATGAGGAACAACTGGGAAAAGGACATTGCGGCTGTGATTTCGCCTGAATTGGAGGTAAGCAGTGAGTGGCGGCTGTGTTGCTCCCCTGCCCAGAAAGGAAGCCTCCCGGCGTCTGCTGCCCTTCGTAGCGGTGCCAGCAGGAGCCTGTGGCTGAGCCCGACTCCGATGCTCTGCACCTCGAGTCACCCCATCCTCCTCCTGTCCCCAAGTGCTCTTCCCTCCTGCAGCTGCTCATGAGTTAGTCCGAGGAATTACTGGGAATCCAAGTGCAGGCAGTATTTTTCTCTCCATTACTTTTTACAGCAGAGTGTAATGTACGAGGCAGAGAAACAAACTATCACGTAGATACCCACTAAAAATGAGCCGACAATCATAGACGAATTGCTCACCTAGCAGTCACAATACTACTAAGAGTAATACAGGTCTCTGAATCTCATTCTGTTTGGGGAGACATAAATCTATAAACAACACAGAAATTAGAATAAAAGATCAAAGGGAATGCCTGATGACACACTCAGAGCAGGGGACAAACTCCCTAGTATGCAGATACCCACTGGTGGAGTGACTGGGTGTTCCAATCTGTTTGTGGCAATACCTCACTTCCAGAATTGTTTCATCTTCTCCATCCAGCATCTAGATAAAACCCTTCCCGCCGTTAATATTCAGATCAGCCAAGATAAGCGTATCAGCTCTAACCCTGTAGCCAAAATAATATATGGTGACCCAGTGACCTTCCTGCCCCACCTGCCCCGGAAAAGTGTGGTCCATTGCTCTAAGATTTGGAGCTGCAGGAAGAGAATTACAGTTGAGCACCTCCAGCACATCGTGGAACAGAAAAATGGCAAAGAAAGAGTGCCCGTCCTCTGGCACTTCCTGCAGAAGGTACGTCTGGCTCACCCTGGCTGCCTCCCTTTTTCGGTGCAGAGTTCCCCAGTAGACCTGAAGGCCCTGGGCTTTTATGTAGTATAATTATTCCTAAAGACGAGACGTCTTCACCAGACTATTTCAGTGCTTTGATTTTAAATAAAATGTCTATAGCAGAAGACTCAGGGACAGAGATCTTCATTCATATCAAACCGTACGATCGCCTGAAGTGTCAAGTCACAGACGAAATACACACCCAGGTTGGGATTAGCCGTGGCCTGTGGGGAAGCTGGAGGTCAGGAGAAGGCCTCCGTCATCACTCAGCCAGACAGAAAAGGAGGCAGCTCTTTCCCAGCCGCCGTTCCTCTGTCTGCAGTGCTGGAGCATGGGCAGATCAAACCTAACTCCTCCCTGTGCCTAGGCATTGAGGTATAGGCGGAAGATGCGAGCGAGTGGCTGTGCGCTGACAGTGGTGGGGTACTGGGGAGCCATCAAGTGGACTGATCATGTCTGTTGGAATTAGAAACACACACTTTTTGGCTGGGCGCGGTGGCTCATGCCTATAATCCCAGCACTTTGGGAGGCCGAGACGGGTGGATCACGAGGCCAAGAGATCCAGACCAACCTGGCCAACATGGAGAAACCCCATCTCTATAAAAAATACAAAAGAATTAGCTGGGCGTGGTGGCACACGCCTGTAGTCTCAGCTGGTTGGGAGGCTGAGGCAGGCGAATCTCTTGGACCCGGGAGGCAGAGGCTGCAGTGAGCTGAGACTGTGCCACGGCACTCCAGCCTGGCAATAGAGAAGGCAGGCAGGCAGGCAGGAAGGAAGGGAGAGAGAAGGAAGGAGGGAAGGAAGGCAGGGAGGCACACTTTTCTAACTTTCATCCATTTGTACTTTCATTTTCTATGACAGATTTTCTAATCATTTCTCTCCATGAACTAGTATTTGCTGTCTGGCAGGGCAGAAGATGATTGGAAGTTTGTATTGGTCAGTTAGGAAATATTAGTCCTTCCAATGACAGGAAGGACTTCCTCTCAATGCTGTGCTGTCTCTGAGGTGGTTTCATTATATCGAAGATGTTTAGATCCTGGGTCTTCAGAAGGACACCCAGGAATAACGCCAGCCCTCGCTGCCTAAGCTCTGGGTCTCTTCTCAGCAGCTTCTCTCCACACCCAGCCAGTCACATGGGCCCAGGGGCACATTTCCTTCATCAGCCTTTGGTGCACGTGGCTGATGTACCATCTCCACAGAGGCCGGGTTCCGCTTTCTCCGTTATCCATTTCTAACATGTTGCACCGTCAGTAGACTTGCAGGAAGAGCAGGAGGGCCCTTTTTCCATTTTCAAGCTCCATGCCATGTCACAGAAAATGACACTGACCAGATTAAGCTAGAAATACAAGTCTCCCCGCCAGCCTCAAAGTCTATATCCCCAGTAACATGTTTTAGGTAAATAAAAAGTGTTACCAGGTGGTCTTCCCTTCTCCAGGAAGCAGAGCTGAGGCTGGTGAAGTTCCTGCCTGAGATTTTGGCCCTGCAAAGGGGGCTGGTGAAGCGGTTCCAGAACGTCCCGCAGGCTGAATACCGCTCCATCAGAGGCTTCATCAGCAGCCACAGTTCAGGTGTGGCTCTGCTCTGACGAGACCAGGACTGTCCTGCATTTGGTGGTTTGAAAGGATCACTGCAGAGGGGGGCGGGGGGGGGAGGAAAGGAGGGGCTGATGGGCACTCTACAGCCTAAGCCCTTAGCGTGAGATGAAGGGTACTTGAACCCCAAAAACATCAGAAGCTTTTGCTGCAGCTGAAAAGCACCTCCCTCTCTAGCTCCGCAAACTCGGCTCAGTGCTTCAAACAGCACCTCAGACATGCTCAACTGCACAGAGCAGCAAAGATGGGCTCCTGGCAGAACATGTGACAAGGGTGGTGTGGCCCCAGCAGGGGGGTTGCTATCACAGGGCTCTTACAAAGTGTTCTATTCAACAGATGGGTTAAGGCAGCTACTGCAGAACAGAATCACCATCTTTCTGTCGACATGGAACAAACTGAGAAGATCACTTGAGACAAACGGTTAGTGTCCTGTCCCCGTCACTAAGCATTCCAGGAGAGCCTGGTCTGAAAGCTTTTCCCATCAGCCTGACTCGGCCCATCCTGTGAACACAGCACTGTGTTAATGCTTAACTAGTGACTCTTGATGGCGGTGTCTGGGATGAGGAAAATAAACCCTCAGTCCTCTTCAGTCCCTAAATGGCTTGAACAAGAGAGCTGAGAAACTGAGCATTTGAAACTCATCAGCATACGAGATGGCGCAGAACCCAGACCCAGCTCCCGGCTCTGTGTGGAGCTGATGGCTTCTGCACCCTCCTCTCCACGCCTAGATTCTATGAGGAGTTGAACTCCTCTCTGCTTAAGAATGACCCTGTTGTTTAAAGGTGAGATCAGCCTACCTCAAGAGTACTGCAGCACGGACTTGGATCTGGACACTGATTTTGAGATCCTCCTGCCACGTCGACGGGGCCTGGGTCTCTGTGCTACCGCTCTCGTCAGCTACTTGATTCGCCTACACAATGAAATCATCTACGCGGTGGAAAAATTCTCCAAGGAAAACAGCAGGTGTGTGCATGAGCTAACAGGAAGTGGTGCCTGGTCGGCCCGGGGTCCCCAGCCCAGTGGGGCAGACAGAAGCAAGCCTCAGCCCCTTCCCTAACAGACACTCCTTCAGCCGCCCTCACAAACCAGCGACCACCCCACACCTGGGTATGGTATTCACCTGCTCCAGCTGTGAGAAATCACACAGGAGCCAGCTCCTTGCAACCTGGAGCCCTCAGCCCACGCGCCCAGCCTGGAGGCTGGCCTGGACGCCGAGCGCTGTCTTTCTGCCCCTCAGCTATTCCGTGGATGCCTCTGAGGTCACTGACCTGCACGTCATGAGCTATGAAGTGGAGCAGGACCTGATCCCGCTGATTCTCTCCAACTGCCAGTACCAGGTGGAGCAGGGCAGGCAGACCCTGCAGGAGTTCGACCTGGAGAAGATTCAGCGGCAGATCATCAGCCGCTTCCTCCAGGGCAAGCCCTGGCTGAGCCTCAAGGTAGGGCTGACTCCACCACTACTGCTGGTCTGGTCGGTGTGTCTGCTAGAACAGCAGCCCTTGGAGTGTCTCTTGTGAGAGGGAGAAGCGCCTCACCCCACAGTATCTGCATCCCCACCCTGACGCCCACACAACCTCTGTGTGTCATGGAGCCGATCTGTTCCTGCTCTCCTGAGCCCCCTCCTGCAGAGCCATCTGCACCTCGGTCCCCCAAGGGACTGTTGAGCTCTTTTTTTCTGAAACAGGGTCTCACTGTTTCCTAGGCTGCAGTGCGGTGGTGCCATCTCGGCTCACTGCACCCTCCCTCCACCTCTGGGCTCAAGCCATCTTCCCGCCTCAGCTTCCCAAGCTGAGACCACAGGTGTGCACCATGACACCTAGCTAATTTTTGTATTTTTTGGTAGAGATGGGGCTTCACCACATTGCCCAGCTGGTCTTGAACTCTTGGGCTCACCACATTGCCCAGCTGGTCTTGAACTCTTGGGCTCAAGGGATCCGCCTGCCTTGGCCTCCTAAACTGCTGGGATTACAGGCGTGAGCCACCCACCGCACCTGGCTTACTGTGGAGGTCTCAATGGCCTCGTCATCTAGGTTTTTCTACCACAGTTAATGGCACTGCCACCCCCACAGCCCCTCTTCCTTCAGCCTCCTCAGAGAACCTGCCCGCAGGCGCCACTAGCTGTGCCTTCTGGGTCCTCATCTGACTGCCAGAGCCCACTCGAGTTAAAAGCATCTGTCCGTAACCTGGACTGTTGGCAGTTCCTAACTGGTCCCCACCTCCAGGTTCTTCAGTCCACAGCCTAAAACCCACATCTGGCTTTCTTCACACTGTGCTGACGGCCCTGCCTGGCCTCCCTGCACATGGGATAAAGCCGACACTGTGGTCCAGCATGGGAGGCCCTGTAGCCTGGCCCAGCCCTGCCTCCAGCCCGAGCCACCTCCCTACCCTGCCTCCCATGATCTCACGCACGGGAGCTGCAGCGGGCACTTGTTCCTTCCAGCTGCAGTCAAATCTACTGGACCTATGTACATCTATCCCCGCACCACCCGCAAGTGGGCCCAGAACTGAGAGCCCACAGCTGTTTATAATTCCGCCTCGCTTCCCTGTCCACCGGCAGAGTGACTGCCTGTGCCCGGTCTGTGCCTTCAGTGGCTGAATACATGAATGAGCCATACACAGATACCTGTTGCCCTCGCACCTCCTGTGGCGAACCAGGCCACGATGACATGACAATATCTTGTCCTGTAACTGGCCGTGGGGGCTCAGCTGGATTCCCTATTGTGCTGTTTCTGTAAACAGTGGGTTAATGACAGGGAGGGGCGCTCTCTGCCAAGGGATACACTGGGCAGCTTGGCACTATACTGGAATTCTGGCTGAAGATTCTGTTTGTCATCTGATGGAAACGTCCACGATGGATTTAGTTTTTAAAAATGTTTTTCTTTCTCAATTTAGGGAATACCCACCCTGGTATACAGACACGACTGGAACTACGAAAATCTCTTTATGGACATCAAGAACAAAATGCCACAGGTGGTCCCCATAACCCTTCTCCTTGGCACGGGGCTTTTTGCCTTCTGACAACACGTGTTGTCATCCATGTTAGGCCCACTCTAGCTTGCCCTGGGTGTTTGCTGTGAGCTGCAGTTTCTATGGCCTCCCTGAGGACCCCAGGGGGCTCCCTAAGAGCCCAGTGCTCTTTGCAGAGGGCAAGCAAGACAGCAAGTCAGCAAGATTTCTTGTAGAGTAAAAGCAGATTGACATCTTATGGGTTCAATGCTTAGGAATGATGTCATGGCCATGCATGCTGAGGCAGAAAGGCCACGGAACCAATCTGTTCCTGCTCTCTGCATGCTGATATTGGTGGCAGATCTGTGTGTCATGGAGCCCATCTGTGCCTGCTCTCTGCATGCTGGTATTGGTGGCAGACCTGTGTGTGTCCCACGGTCTCCAGGGTGGTTTGAGGATTCACCGCCCTTGTATCTATTTCTATGGAAAGTCTGGACAACTGCCTGCATAGTGCGCCCAAGTGTCAACTGTTACTTTTACAGTTGACCCCACCTGTGGCTTGGGCAGCGAAGGGGCTCAGCCCTCTTACCAGGTGGTGAGAAACAGGAAGCCAGCCACAGAGGTCCCTCTCCTGCTTTTCCTTTCCTAGACCTCCCTCCCCAGCTCAACCCTCAGTGCCATCAGTGGACAGCTGCAGTCCTACAGCGATGCCTGTGAAGCGCTGTCTGTCATAGAAGTCACTCTGGGGTTCCTGAGCACAGCAGGCGGGGATCCAAACATGCACCTGAATGTGTATATTCAAGACATGCTGCGGATGGGCGACCAGACAGCGCAGGTGTTACAGGTGGGTCACACGAAGGCGCTCTCCAAGGAAATCAGCACAGCCCTTCATCCTAGTCTCCCTGCTTCCTGCTGTGATAGGACATTCAGGGAGTGCCACTCCAGGCTGCCTGAAAAGGATGGGGAGATGAGAACAACCGCTCACCCGGTCAGTCCACTGTAAACACACAGGGGACAGCAGAGACACACTCGCTAGAAATGCCGGCAGTCTAGACAGGGCCCAAATGTGGCTGAGCACAAGCCCCCTGCTAACCGCATGATGTGACTGGACTCCGAGGTGCTGTAGGCGAGAACTGGCGGACAGGACAGGGCCTTCCTGAGGAGGGAAATAACATGAGTACAGATGGAGTGAAAAGAAGAATGCCCGTGTGGAGAGCACTCAGGTGACACCTCAGCCCCCACTCAGGAATTCTGTTCCTCCTGCAGGCCCTAAACAGATGCCAGTTAAAACACTCCATTGCCCTCTGGCAGTTTCTGTCTGCTCATAAGTCTGAACAGTTGCTGCGACTGCAAAAGGTGAGTTGGGTCCGTTCCTCTCCGCCGGACAGAGGGACTGACTGCGCTGCTTTCTCCCCGCAGGCTTTGATGTGTCATTTGGTCTTCCATCGTTTTAGGAGCCATTCGGGGAAATCAGTTCGAGGTACAAAGCAGATCTGAGCCCGGAAGATGCTAAGCTCCTCGGCACATTCCTGAATCAGACTGGCCTAGACGCTTTCCTCCTAGAGCTGCATGAAATGATAGTCTTGAAACTAAAGAACCCCCAAACCCAGGGGAGCTTCAACCCTGAGTGGAGGTATGGATTCACACACCTGTTGGGCAGGGCAGACACAGAACATTCTGCTGTTTTTCCTATGATCTTCCACAGACACAAAAGTAGTTCTTTCTTATCACAGAATCCCATTTCCTGCTTTTTGTCATTACCAGGGCACCCAAGAACCAACTTTTTGGTTTTAATCTCTATTGGGTGTTTTTTTTTGTTGTTTTGTTTTTGAGACAAGAGTCTTGCTGTCACTCAGGCTAGAGTACAGTGGAGCAATCTCAACTCACTGCAACCTCTGCCTCCTGGGTTCAAGTGATTCTTATGCCACAGCCTCCCAAGTAGCTGGGACTACAGGCATGTACCACCATATCTGGCTAATTTTTGTATTTTTTGTAGAGATGGAGTTTTGCTGTGTTGGCCAGGCTGGTCTTGAACTCCTGACCTCAAGTGCTTCACCCGCTTCGGCCTCCTAAAGTGCTGAAATTACAGTGTCAGCCACTGTGCCTGGCCTAGGATTTCTGGTCTTAACATTTTGGTTCTGCTGACAACTGGAAAAAGTGACATAAGGGGACTGATTTGTCCCTTCTGTTATATGGGAGACTGGTATTTTTTGAGACAGGATCTCACTGTCACCCAGGCTGGATGGTAGTCCCAGGTCAGGAACTCAGTTGATTGACCTTAAACTGGTCAGGATTTCTGGTTCTCTTGAGACTGAGTCTTGCTCTGTTACCCAGGCTGGAGTGCTGTCGTGCAATCTTGGCTCGCTGTAGCCTCCACCTCCTGGCCTCCAGTGATCCTCTCACCTCAGCCTCCTGAATAGCTGGGACTACAGACATATACCACCATGCCCACCTAATTTTTGTATTTTTGCTAGAGACAGGGTTTCACCATGTTTTCCAGGCTGTTCTCCAACTCCTGATCTCCAATGATCCATCTGCCTCAGCCTCCCACCTGGTATTACACACGTGAGCCACTGGCTGAGGACAGTTTTCAATGCTCTTATTCTTTGATTTTTCAGCCTGAGAGACACTCTGGTAAGTTACATGGAAACTAAAGAAAGTGAAATTCTTCCTGAAATGGAATCTCAGTTCCCAGAAGAGATACTGCTTGCCAGTTGTGTCTCAGTGTGGAAAATAGCTGCTGTCCTGAAACGGGATCGACAAATGAGATAGAATTTCCTCAGCTGTCTTTGAGTAAGACTTGGGAGAGAAGGCTCCTCTCTCCTCGCCCCCAGCATGGACTTCATCAGTGACTGGTGCCTTTGCATTCAGAAGGAAAGCTGTCAGCATAGCACCAAATTCAAGACCAAGGCGTGCTACGTGAGCTGACAGCTTTCTGAAAGCCAAGCTGTTTCTGAACCATGCATATATATATTCTAAAACTTTCTCATCATAAGTACTGTTCATTAGGAGATGACAACGAAGATCAGATGAAATTGGAAATAAACCAGTTTACATCCCAGGAGGCAAGCAGCTCAGCCACACGCAGCAATGATCTGTGTCTGCAGCCCGCTTGCCTCTGGCACTACCCACCCCCCCCTTTTTTTCCTAAATCTGTGCTCAAAGAAGAGAATCTCCCTTTCTTCTTTCTTCCATGTCCTTAAATTCTGAGTACCGTACATATACTTCTGGGTTCCCAGGATGATGTGAAAAAGTGCCAGACTGTTTTTTGTCTTCTCACAAATACAAGAAAAATCAGGGCATTTTGTGAGTGCCTTAAGACTAAACTAACAAGATCTGACCCATACCCTCACAATGAGTCACTGTCAGATTTCAGAGGGTAAGAGCCAAAAGACTCATTGTGAAAAGCACCGGACTTGGGCCAGTGACACCATCAGGGCCTCAGTTTCCTCATGCATAAAATGAAGGGAGTGGATTAATGGCCAAAGATTCTTCTGATCCTAATATTTTAAAATTATGAGAGAAACCAGAAGACTGTAAACCTGGGTCCCAGGCCTGGTTCTGGGAGTTCCGTGGGGAGCTTTTATTTATCATTATGCCAAATAAACACGCAGACTCCATGTGCTCTCGAGTATATGAGTATCTAGTCCTTTCTGTGGTTCTCAGCCAAGGCATACAAACTAAGACTCAGAGCGTACAAAACCAGCTACGTTTCCAAGGGAGGGAAAAGAACACAGGCCCCAAGCCGGGATCTCGTGCTGCCTTTCTCACTCAAGCGTTGCCTTCTTTCTTTCTAAAATCTGCTTTGACACTTAACAACCTCTTTGGACTAATTTCTCTTCCTAGACAGCTCAGCACAGCTTTTGACAAGTTAGAGGCAGTATCCTTAACATACATTCTAAATAAGGTAACGACTCAATCAACTTGAAATTGGGCCCAAGGAGTGAAAGCTACAAAAATACAAAATGCTTGTCTACAACTCAGCCACGCACATCTTGGGCAGCACATGCAGGAGGCCTGGAAGGAGCTGTGCTCCGTTCTCCGGTGATGTCGCCGTCATGGTGTCTGATGAAGGGAAGAGTGACCCCAACTGCGGGCAGTGGCTTGTTCCACACAGTCATCCACGATTGTTTCTCCTCCTGGACTAAGCAGAGCTGCTTGCCACGGAGATCTGCATTCCCACCGCCCAGCGATAGGTGTGGGGGCCGGGGGCGGGCTTGTGGAAGTCTTCAGCTTGCATCCGGAGCTCCTTTGCTACCTCCGAGCTGGCCATCAGGTGGCAGCTCACACCCATGGATTCTCATGTGCCACACCTTGGCACCTGGGAGTTGGGTGTCAGTCCTTCTGTGAAGGCCTTTGTTTTCCCTTTGGCCTGGGAATTTTTCCCATTTTTGTGAAGGGTTTTTAATTATTTCATTTTGTATGCTGTGCTCAAAGCCTTAGCTGTCATTATCTTGCATTATCTTGTTTGTATAGAAATATATGCCTAGCACAGGCAAAAGTGAATTTTACTTGTTATACCTGTCTTAATAAATTGGAGTTTTGCTGCTAAAGAACCTTTCCCTTTGAGGCAGAGCTTCTATTTAAGGCACACAGACATCAACTAGGCTTTTGGGAATCGTTTCTGTGGTTTGTGGAAAGGCCCTCGCAGGTGTCCGTGAGGTGGTATGTTCAGACAGAAAACATGCTGTGCTTTCACATGCGAGATGGGAAACGTCCTCTGGACAAAACGACAGCAGGCCTTCGAGTCCACGGTGGACTTTCGTGCCAGGCCCTCTAGCTGATCTGAGGCTTAAAAGCTGACGGCCAGCCTCAGAGTGGAGCCCCCGTGCCCTGCCTAAAATGATGACACTGGAAACAGCAGGGCTGTAGCTGACAAGGAGTTGAGGTGGAGCTAACCCTATCAGCGAGTCCACTTTTTGGGTGAGATAAACAGTGAGCCTTCCAGGAGCCCAATTACACTTGAGTGCTGAAAGTGCCACTTTAGGGGTGAAATTGCATTTCTCTTCCAAAAAGGAAGGGCTCTTCTGGGTGAGAAACCTGTGGTCTGGAACCACAGCTAGAAGAGGCGTGCTGGCCTGCACAGGAAGACTCGCTGTGTCTGCCCTGTGCCAGCCTCGCCTCCCCCTGCAGTTCCTGTTTCAGCTGTGGATGCCTCCTCACCAATCCTGACCTTCCCCCTCTAGCCTTTATCCATCCTCACACCATTTCCCTGGACAGCTCAGGGCTGTGGAGTTCGTGCCTTCAGCCTTACCTTGGTGGTGACTGAACTGAAAATCTCTGTAACTGCTCATTATCTCCTTTTCTTCAAGACCTCACTGTGAAAAAATTAGTCGAGTGTGCGCACCTGTAATCCCAGCTACTCGGGTGGCTGTGGTGTGAGGATTGCTTGAGCCTGGGAGCTTGAGGCTGCAGTGAGCTGTGAGCGCACCACTGCACTCCAGCCTGGGTGACAGAGACAGACCTGTCTCAAAAAAATAAAATAAGGACCTTACGTGTGTGTAAATTATTTGCCTTTCGTTAATGGTTATAAGACTGTCATTTGTTAACTGAGATGACCATGAGCTATTTCAGTCATTCCTATATGTTCAGGCAATTCCAATTTAGAAACAAACTTCCAGTGCTAAATAATTATTGGGAGGAAAATGTCGGCTCAAAGGGCCAAGTAGGTAAAGCTGCCCAAGTCTATCCGTGCACATAAGCACAACCTGGGCCCATACGGGCGAGTGTTAGAGGCCGGAGGAGGGTCCCCGGGTGCAGCGAGTGCTGCATTAAAGTGTTGAAGGAAAACATCTCTGATTTAATACAGTCCGTGTGGCGTGTAATGAGGCTGCAGAACTGGGGAGGTGGCCAGAGAAAACCCGAGCCTCGAGCTGAGTAACAATCCAAGCCATGATTAGCATTTATATTGCATTATGCACTATTCTGATCCCATCACGTTCATTAATTAAGCTCAGCCATTACGAATCCCGTTTCCAGCTAGAAAAACCACCACCAGGAAAGTGCATTTTCCCCAAGAGAACAAATTTGGTCAAAACGACACCTAATGACCCTCTCTGCAGGATATGCTGGGGATAACCCTTTGGAGGAGGTGGGGGTGTATGGGAAAGCAACCTGGGCCCAAAGCAGAGGGATGTTAGAGAGGAGGAGGGGCCCTGGGCCCAGCAGGTGCTCCACCAGGCTGCCTTCAGCTCTGCTGCGCTTACCCTCACACCTAAACTTACTCAAGGGTCCTACCTTCCCCAGTATTCCTTCACGATCACTACCACCTGTGCCCTGAAGCGCAACAGAACCTCAACACAGGAGACAGCTACTTCCTCAGAACCCACGAGCTTTGCCCCATCCCCACGGACCCAGGAGTGACTCCTAATTACCAAATCCAAGGGCTCCTTCGCCTTGGCCTCTCTGGAACCCAACAAAGCCGACACAGCCCAGACCCGCCTGTGAGTCCTAGCTCTCCCATTTGCCAGCTCTCTGGCTGTGGGCAAGCGGCTTGACCTAAGCTTCAGTTTCCTCATCTGTGAGGCAGACACCTGTCAGTGCTCTGATGGGAAAGAGGCCGGTGTCGGTCAGCAGCGGCGCACAGTGCACGGGGTGCAGTGGGCGACGGTCATTCGTTAAAAACTGACCCTGCTTTCAAAGTTAGTCTAAACTGTACCATTTTGTAAGCCCCCTGCCACGTTGCAGACTTTGGTAAAAGTCAAACATCCCAAGGCAGTCTGGGCCATGTGAAACAGCCTGCCTCTTACATTCTGCTGGGACAAGGTGCAAGGAACGCCACATTCCGCCGGAACCGCCTCATCCTGGGAACACGTTAGCTGCCTCTTCCGGGACAGCAAGCCAGGCTGCCCAGACCCTCCCGCCCGGGCACCCCAGCAGGTACTCGCCGGCGGGCCCTGGCATTGAGCTGCTCGCCCACCTCCACGGGCTTTTGCAATATACCTGTGTCACTGTAGAGCCGCCCACGCGCCCTTGCTGCAGCATTAACCCTCACCTTCCCTTTCAAAACCTAACACCCTTGACATTTATATTCAGACTCTAATATACATGATAGATACATACAATACACAAACACACGCCCTTCTGAATCCTCCCAGTAGAATATAAGGTCACGGGTTAAACGGCTACACTTCAGCGCTTCAAATACACCCACCTCCTTCCCAGCCCCGGACCTCAACGCAAAAGCTGACCCAGGCCCCGCCCCGCCCCC